ATCCGGGTTTTAGAGGACATCATAATACCGACAAAAATCACATTGATAACTGCATGAAAAATGAATCTGAAGATTAAACGAAACAGGTGAATGAAATTCTCAACACTTTATCTAAAAATGCACTTCACTAACTTGAAACGAAATTACTTCCACACAATGTAGACAGCACAATACCTGTATGAAAAAGGAAATTGTTAAACACCATACGTGCTTATGAAGAACAATTCTCGGATGTAAACAAATGCCTCTATGCATTCATTTTGAATTTTCTTATTCTCATTTAAATGTAACCAAATGAATTCACTTTCACTTCCCACGATCCCTTAAGTTTTATTAGTCTGTGAAAATGCCCATGAAAGTTATTTCTTTTGTCTGATTTGATTATGATAACAGAGGTAGTCTTGAAGTAAAAAGATCTTTGACTCGGTAGCCATGGCTTCCGGTGACGGTAGTTAACACCGTTTATGCTAACGTGAAAAAAAATATTGTTAATGACTGTAAATACTGTATATACTGTAAATAAAAACAGAAATGATTCATTTAAATGATGACCTTAAATTCCGTGAGGCATCAATCAGATTACAAAATCAACAACGATTATTTATACGCTAAACAACAGTTGTTTCCGGATTACGGTTCTCAAACACATAAATCTGTTTTAAACACAAGCAGGTGACATGTGATTATCATAAAAGCTGTGTCGAAGGTATGTGATGTGACTAAATCCAAACTGGCAAGGACGAGGAGTTCTATATCAGCCCACATTTATGCCATAACATAAATTTACCGTGTTCTTAGGCTTCTATTTAGCTTGTCCCTGTTAGGTCGTCCCACCTCCAAATGAACCAGAATAGGACGCCGTGATAAATTACTTCACCCAATTAGAATGTGTACCAGTAGAAACATTAAATTAACATTCTCAAAATAGATCAGAAGAAACTCAATCAAGTAAATTAATACAAGTTTAATTGAATTAGGGTAATTTATTTTTACATATTACCTTCCTACCATGCACGAAAAATGTAAAGGCGGATATCTTATTATTAATTGGAAACTTCCTTCTTCCAGGATAAAATACAACCGTCATTATTTACAAGACATATTAATTTATTGGTTACAAGTGTAGTTCAATATTTTTAAATAAATTTCTAAGACATTAACTAAATTCCTGTTTGAAAAATAAATGATTTTACCGTAGTTGATAGTTTACCCAATTTGCATTTTTAATTCTGTACACTACACAAATAAATTTATAATTTTGTTTGTTGAATATGTAAAAGCTCTTTTAATTCCGTATATACCGGGTTCTTTATAGCGTTTCAACAATGATAAACTTGTCCTTACTCAAAAAAAGGTGATCGTTTCGCCTTCGGTGTAAATGATGTTTCTCGCATCAAGATCATAATCGATAAGACATCACGCAGTGCAATTAGCACAGACAGGTTACTTAGTGCCAGAAAGATTAAACAGTTTATATCTTCATTATCGGAAATTATAATAACATGAGTGAAGGAGCAGCTTTTTAATATGCAGTTACAAAAAAAGTGTACAGTGTACTACTGTGTTGCAGTTCCGTATCTCTACATTTTAAATCCGAATCTGAATTATCAATTTTTTTATGAAATTAGTAACTTGTATAAATTGCAAGACTATGGATTTTTATAAACAACAAAGCTTATTCATTACGTTGTTTATTTATAAGATTAATAATTGTTTAATACTGCTATAAATTCAAACCCACATGTAGAACGAGTACTGGCTTGTACATATCTACCTTAAAAGTAAAGAAAATCGACCACTGATAACTTAACGATTTTTTCCAACAGGTCTATAAAAAGTCGCAAATATGGAAGCAAAGAATGTAATACGATCCATAAAATAAGCAACCACATATTATTTCGATGCTTTTAAGTAAATATCTGTTTGATGGAAATATTTTGACAACAAATAATTGCTGAAAACACTTTGCAAATTACTCTAAAATATTATAATTATTATAATTTCAGAATGGCAAGAAGATGAAAAATTGATTTAAAGTTATTTTCCTTATTTAAAGGACAGTCCAACAAATCCCGCTTTGTTGTATTTATAGAACAGTTTGTTACTCACTTTGATTTTTTTTTGCGAAAATCTGTATGCAAAACGGATTCATAGACAAGTACAGGAGTATGTGATTTCATAAAATTTAAATAGCATTTACCACGCAAAATTTTGAAGTAACGTCATCAAATTGTTGATGGAGATGAACCGGCAAATTTTTGTTTAGCATCTACACGATATACCTATATGAAATTTGACAACAATCGGTCCAGTAGCTTCGGAGATTATCTGCCTATTAAAAATCGACACAGGTAGATGACAGAGATAGACAAATAGGCAGAAAGGAGAGATGTACTTCTTCGTTCTCTCGGGATTTTGAAACGTCGAAATAACATGAATGTTAGTGGGTCCATTCGACCAAAGTAAAAATATTAACTAAAATGTATTTAGTCATTTTCCAAGGATGACGTAAGTTTAAAATATCTTGTTATCTTTACTTCAATGTACAAAATAGTACGGGTTCTTTACATGTGATTTAATCATCTACCTTTATTTTTACTTTTGCCTACAACCTACAAGGATTATACAAAAAATTCGTAAGACGATAACATTAGCTTACGTATCACTAATTAAGATTAACAAACACTGATCCTTCCTGGGAGACGTCATCCCGAAATTTATACAATTAATATTTATTGTAAAATAAAATAAAAAAAACTTACAGGCGAATCTATTTCATTGATTAACTCGGAAATAGCTCTGAGAATACAATAAGAGGACCCAACTGTTATGCAATCAAGTAAGGTCATAATAGGGGTACATATTATAAATCTGACAGCAAGCTAAAAATGCAGCCTCGCGGTTAGATTTATATTACCCCTATTATGAATTTCTTTGTCGAGGTATTTGACTTCATAACACTAAGGTCCTGCCATATGACGTTAGAACCTGTGTACTACTGTATGCCTAGTCTTACAGTTGTCTCACAGCAGTAAGAAACTTTGACTAAAATCATAATGACAAAAAAACTCATCAGATTTAAGTAGTAAGTAATTTACGACAGTGCAATGACATTAATCCCCCTATTCCTTTATTAGGGTAATTACAACGACGGGTTTCTTTGTGGTTATGATATATAGCTTTAGTCAAAGTTTCTTACTGCGGTGAGACGACTATACCTTTTGTATGTTAAAACGAATGTACAACGCCATCAGTTTCAGAAATAATCAATAAATTCAAGTTAAACATCAACTTTTAGACCCTAAAACGGAAGACACAGCAATCTGAGCAGAGCAATAATAACGATTTATTTGTTGTACTATACAGCGTGATAATTGAGAACTTACACGTAAATATGTGTATCATAGTTAGATTCTAGTATTGGAGAATAATAATGTCAATGCCTTCGTCATATATAGATACGTAATTGACTCTTACTGTTAAAATAATAAACTTTGATTGTCCTAGTTTACAGTTATCCTAAAGGTTGTTAATTATTTATTTATCTATAAATACCGGGTGAGCCTAATGGTTGAAGGGAATTTTTATATTAGAAATTTTGAATTATTGGCAGCAATGTTAGTTTGTCAATTTGGCACGAGCGCACATAATAAAAACAAGTAGAAAATATGGCAGCTGCTAACTTGATACAAATGTCAATTCAACAATCAGGTATGTCATCCTAAAATTTTAAATATCTTGCCAATACGACAAAAAAAATCATAAACATTAATAGTCACTCGGTATTTATTAATAATTCACATTTCATCATTACTTTTAATATTTTAATAACCTACTTTTGGTACACACAATAAAAAGACATTTTAATTTAAATTTACATATTTTTCGACTGTCTTCTCAAAATATTTCTAAAATATACAAGCTCTCCCAGATATAACTATGCGTCCTTGTATCTTGAAAATGGATGGAGCTATTGAAATTCTATAATGTTGTTTTTAGCTTTATTGTATCTCTGTCCTTAAATACCTCTAAAAAAAATTGCTACCTGAAAAGCTTGTCTTTGAAATTTTTACCACGCGGATTTCATCAATTTTTAAAAAATCCGCTATGACTGAGAACACTATCGAGCAATCTGTTGTATAAAAGCATTGCTTATGATCTTCATACCCGGCTTTATTACCGTAACGTGAACCAAACAATAGAATTCTGAGTTTTCGAAACAAAAAGTTGCAAGTTGAAAAGCTGTTTTTGAGATGCCACAACAATAATTCTTGTTAAGCAAATTATTTGCAACATACAAACATTTTTTATATTTGTGTTAACGATGGGTCCGTACGATAGAGAATGCATTCCAAAAGAAATTCAGTAATGACACTTGATAAAAAAAGCTTGAACAGGTTTACAGCAATGTCGTAAATCACTGACAGATTTTTGTCAAGTTAATATTTCTCAAATATAAATAACTAGAGAAATGAGATGGTTTTGCTTTATTTTTTCGGCTGCCAGTTTAAATTAAAATTTTCAGATTCATTGACGATGTGCATTTTGTATAAATATTTAGGCGAAGTATATAAATAATGCTTAAATATTTATATAAAATTCCTGTGCCTATGCGTCGAAAGGCGGTTATGTTTGTAGTGATTGATTTTATTTATTTTCACTGATTTATGCTGTTGTAAATAAAAAACGTTTTGAAGCGTTCCTGGATGGGAACATTAATTTGAGGAAGCTATTGTCAGAACTCTCTTGAACGTCAAGATGCACAATAGTTTCATGGTACAAAAAAATCGACACACTGGCGCTTTAAAAACTCTACCATAAACTGCATCTGCAACAACTGTGTCAACTGGTTTTTATAAATACTTTGCAGAGCTTTTAGATTCAGTTAAACATTCGTTTGGGAGTCGCGAGCGGTAAATAACAATGTAATGCTTCTTGCTCTGTTTTCTTTAACGACTTTTTAACACTGCATTAATGTTTTTAACATTAAAATCACTAACCTTTCTCAATTTAACTTCTTCCATGATAGGCTCATTTACGGGAATTAACGGTCGAGTAGTTAATCTTTTAAAGGTCTCCTGGGAAGAATCATTATTGTCAGCGGTTTGCAGCTGTCGTGGGTCCGATGTTTTGAACTGTTTATATTGGGAATTCACTGCCACTGAACGAGCGAAACAACTTTTAAACGTCGCGTCGTCGAAATCTTCACCCCAGTCATAAGTTTCTTTTTCACTAATCATTTTATTTTTGTTGTCATTTACTTCCATGTAATAAAAACATCCAAGTGTCTCGCTGACGAGATTATGTTGTGACAGTCGGAATAAAGGATTTTGAAAATTAAGTCACATAGTTTTGGGAACAGCAGAATTCATGTTCTCGACGGTGGCACCAGTTGCAGTACGTATTTTTAACCCCACGTGTACACAATCACAGACACCACACACGGTCCTCTAAGGACTGGAAGAATGAACTTCTTTGAAAGTCATTTAACACGCGCCACTGATTTTAGTTCGTGCGCATGTGTGAAGTGTGTATTATTGGTTGCAGATCTTAACAAAACCTTCTTTAGGAGTTGATTTTCTTTATATTAACACTTTTTAACAATATTTTTTATTTTGTTTTTTTTTTTTTTATTATTATTTTGATTCAGCTTTTAGGAACCAGTTATTCCGATTTATGTACAACTGTGTGGTTAATTTCTAATCAATACATTTAAACGCAATTTTTACCATTCACCAATCAGTCTGTTATAAAGTAACCATTTTTAACCACTTTACTAAATAGGGGCCCTACAAAAAAAGTAATGGGATGTCAAGTGTTCCGGTGTTTATATAAAATGTTGGTATTTAACTGAGGGGTTTTTCGCAGTTTTTCTGAAATGTATATGTACTTACTACAATTTAAAAATTATTTTTTTAATTTCTTTGTCTGATTTAACAACCACATTAAGAAATTATTATTAAGTATCTAGATGAACAAGTTTTTTTTTTAATGAACAGTAGAATCTCTTTATGTCCTATCATTAAAGGGAAATACCACAGCTAAATATAAAGTTACGGGTCTTAATACTCAAAAAATAATATCATCTCTATAATAGTAAATAATAATACGCCGTTTAGGATAAATATACAGAAGGACGACCTCACCTATCATCCGTATTTTTTTACTATTATGATTTAAAATGTTTATTAATGCTACCAGGTGAACTGACGAGTTTTATAAGAAGTAAAAGTATAAAAACACTTGATTTATTAATTATGACTATAAAGTTTGTAATAATTATATACATTGTAGCTTTTTACATTTAATGATTGTACCATGTAAATATGAGTATTTACATAACTAAATATAACACTATACAGCCATAATAAATTAGAATTAATTAATATCCAAAAAATTAAACAGCAATTTATAAAATCAAAACCTATACGAGGACTCCAATAAAAGTGACTGATAGCCGCAACAACATTTTTGTGTTAAATTTAATAAAAAAAAAACTGCCAACAAAAAGTATAAATGTATAAATATATGTATAATTGTGTATAAAAATATATGTACAATGTGGCCCAGTTCAAATGGCAATACTCCATTAATTTCGTATGTCGTTATTTTTTGACAGTCCGCTGTGAAATTTTTATGACATGTAGAACTGTAGATATCTTTCTATTCTCTGCAGGCTAGTCTGATGCGCAACATTTTCAAAATTGAGATATTAAAGTGGAACTGGTAAAATGGGCACCCGGTATATTTCTGTATATATATGAACTGAAAATATTAGAAACAAAGTAAACAGGATAATCCTTACATGAGTATATTTGTCTATTCTAGATGAAGTTTAAATTACGCCTTGATGTTAATTTAACGATTCCCTAACTCAGTAGGGTATTGTATACCCTCATCCAAAGAACCTTATTATTATAAACATTTTTGTTAGTTAATCATGCAGTTAGAGGTAGGGAAGGTAATTGATGTTGTACTTACTGGTCCATAGACTTTGTTAATTCTTGCCAAACCTTACATAAAAATAATAAGGGATATTTTTAAACTCAACCCTGAACGAAATTGCACGCACCGGACACGTTATTTTCAAGTTTAAAATTTGTTGCTTTTGGAAGTCTATATAATAATTTGAAAAATAATCGCTCAGCAGAAATAACTCTAACAAGTAGAGTAAAAAGTGTTCTTAAACAACAAGATCTGGATTTTTTTTTTCTAGATTGTACTCAGAAAATGTAATCAGCACTTTTGGAAGATAGTGCGTTATATAGACTAACTTGACTCCTTCAAAAAGTTGATAAAATTTAAAATTACTAAGGAAACCAAGACATCTTCTTCATGTGCCAAAATTAGTGTTTTTTTTATAATCATATTTGCGTTTACTTTAAATTCCCACTAACTTAGTCAATAGTTTTTTAAACATATCAAAAACATAATTGAAGCATTGTTTTACACAATTTAATCACTATTTCCTGCATCCTTTGTAGCGTGACCAGTAACACGTGCTCGTCAACACATATTTTTTCATCAAGATTTCCTGTAGCGAAATCTGCATGAGAAAAAAAAATGTTCATAACTGTGGTTATTATACATACAATTCACAATCTTTTCGCTGAAATTTAAATGAAGTTTGATAACACTAATGCAAATTTTACTGCATCCTAAATTTGATAGAAATAGCTATTTAAGATTCAACATTTTCATTACTACTATGAAATAACTGACGAGTTCCTTGAGCAACGGTTGTAAAATAAAAATATTTCTTTTTTGATGTAAGTTAGGTAATTTTAACATTTTTTAGATACACCATCTCTTTAACCTGTTCGACTTTTTATTGAAATTTGTGTCTTTCGAACACAATTTATTTCACCGCGACATGTTTCGACCGAAAAATAACGTAAGGCCATCTTCAAGCTATCAAAAACACTTTAAAATTTAGGTTAAAATTACAAAATGAAATAAAATGAAATTGGCATTAACAAAAGTTGTGAAAATTAATTTTTCTTCTTGTGAAAATTATTTTTTTGCAAATACATCAAGCGTCAGATTGGAGTGGTTGGTAATTTTAATTAGATATTTATTTATATTAATTGAGAGCACCTTTTCGTTTTTCGTAGATGAAACCTATACCATGTGGGCTCAATTTCACGCTAATTTGCGTTGTCGCAAATTGAAGGCTGATGAAATTAAACAGTAAATAATGCAAATTCAAATCTAAAACCTAGACTTTTATTTAGTTAGTATTCAAAATATAGAAAACTCTTTATTTTACAAAAGTAAAAAAGAACAAATATATAGGATACATGATTAAATTCAAAAGAAACTTTTCAATAATGTTAAAGTTATCCTATATTGCTATTAAAAAATTATATTGACGGCGCTTATCTGAAACTAGTCAAAATGAGAATGCAAAAACATTGCATATTCTGGACATTGATCAATTATACAATATATACGTAAAATTTAAGTTATTTTGTTGTATTTTTTAAATATTTAACAAGCTCCTTTATTCTTGGAAAAAAAGTAGCTACCAAGAATTCAGAGGAGTCTCTATAAGATAAGAAGTAAAATTTTCCTCTTGTACATAACCCCATATTGTATAAAATTAAAAATAATAAACCAAAACCAGCATGTTAGTTTACACATTACCAATTAGTGCTTTACCGAAAATTTTAAAGATATTAATTGTTGTTTTTTAAAAAATAATAAATTTTGATTTTGATATCTTTATTTTAGAGAATTATTGTTTTGTTTCATGTAATCCAATAATCTGCAAAGATAAAAAAATATTTCAAAAAGTTTAGATAGTGTTTCTCTCGCCCTTGAATTAATCAACGCCTTTTAAGGAGATAAAGAACCTTAAAGTGGTTCCAAAATTTTGTATTCTATAAAATAAATTTTCAAATTTTATAGTAAAAGCAGCTTGTGTCAAAAAAACTGCTTTTCTGCATCTCATTTCCAATAAAAAAAATCGACAATGTTTTTTCTACAGTTTCTAGATGTTTGTAAGTTGAAACCAGTGGTGAAAATTGTATTCCGAAATTTTCAGAAATCATTGAGGTATTGATTTTTAAAATTATTTGGAAAATTTCACGAAAATGTTAAAAATAATGATGATGATAAAAAAACTATAATTGTTTTATGTAAAGGAGATTGTGAACAGATTATATTTAAAATTTCATAAGAACAAGTCTGTTAAAAACGGAGATATTGCATTCTGAAAATGTATTCAATACTTACTCCACAAGAGTTAAACATAGCGGCTGGCTTTTTAATAAAAGCCTTTCCTAGCTTATCCTCGAAAATTAAAAATATTAAAGCACATGTGAAAGTATCTTTTGACATACACAGTTTAAAGAGTATTTATCTTTTTTGATTTTGTGATGACATTATCAATTTTTTTATTGTTTTCACAGTGGGACATAAATACCCTTATCCTAAATTAAATCAGATCAAAATTCTGCTCTTCAATGCATGTAGGGTGAACTGAAAAAATTGTTTAGAACGGTATACTTCATAGGCGTATTATAATCAGGCTTAAAAAAAAAGTAGAAAGCTTCATTTTTCATTTTTTTCTGTGATTGCTATGATTGCTTATTAAAAAAAAAATAAATTGGACGAAGTCGTATCTGGGGTGTATAATATGTTGCCTATGCAAAAATTATCAGGCATGAACAGATAAAATGAGCGCCCTGTATAGTGATGAAATATCCAGAAAATTTGAAAGTACCAAATTGAGCAATGCCATTACTGTACGTCCTTAGGTTATCCTCGATAAGTAAAACAACTTGAAACATCGGAAGAATGTCTCACAGAGAAATTAGTTTGATTTGAATGAGTTCATCCTCTCAAAACAGAGGATCAAAACAACAACTAGTAATAATGAACTAATTGACTAAATGTTCTGAATATCATTATTATAATTTTTATTAAATAAGGTTGTATTTTCACATTTTCGGGAAAATGGGGTGACTCGTTCTTAATTTGATCAATAAAAAATATGAATGCTATGATGAATCACAAGTAAAAACTCATCGTATTTTGTACATTTTAGGTAAAATTTATTCGGCAAAATTTTGAGATAACGTCATCAATTTTTTGGGGGAAATATACAGATGTATTTTGATTAACAATTTTCCATGCTTACAATGACTTTAAAACGTCTCAAGATTTCACAGTATTCAGTTTTGCAATTCTTGATTTAATCAATAAAATAAAGTGACTCAGTCATTCATTTTTTTCAGACACCCCGTATAAGCAAATCTGAAAAATATTAATGCAGTTATAAATCACAAGTATAGACACATCATTCTTTACACATCTCAGATAGCACATTTTTTTCAGAAAAAAGTCACCCTGTATATGCAAATCCAAAAAATATTAATGGAGTGATAAATCACAAGAAGAGGCTCATCATATTTTGTACATTTTAGATAGGATTTATTCAGCAAAATTTTGGGATGGTGTCATCAATTTTTTAGGGGGGATGAGCAAATACATTTTGAACACAAATTTACCTTGCTTATGATAAATTTAAAATATTTCCAAGATTTCAAAGCATTCCGTTTTGTAGTTTCTGATTGAATCAATAAAATAAATTCATGCATTCATTAATTTTTTTGAATCACCCTGCATAATTGCATATACAAATCCAAAAAATATGAATGGAATGATAAATCACAACTACAGACTCATAATATTTTACACATTTAAGACAGGATTTATTCAGCAAAATTTTGAGGTGAAGCCATTAATTTTTAGGGGGGGATGAGTAAATACATTTTGACTAAAAATTTACCATGCTTATGATAACTTTAAAACATCTCAAAGATTTCAAAGCATTGAATTTTGTAGTTCCTGATTAAATGAATAAAATAAATTCACGCATTTATTAATTTTTTTGAGTCACCCTGTATATGCAAATCCAAAAAATATGAATGGAATGATAAATCACAACCACGGACTCATCATATTTTGCACAATTTAAGATAGGATTTATTCAGCAAAATTTTGAGGTGACGTCATTAATTTTTTAGGAGGGGGGGGGGGGGATGAGTAAATACATTTTGACTAAAAATTTACCATGCTTATGATAACTTTAAAACATCTCCAAGATTTCAAAGCATTAGATTTTGTTGTTCCTGATTAAATATCAAAATGTTGTGTCCTAATTTTTTTTTTTCCAAAAATCTGGACATTTCGAGTAAAATCTCAATTCGCAGTCATAAACTGCATGTATAAGACTATGTTATTTGATACAATTTAAAACCCAATTACTATGTACAATTTTGAAGTGTCGTCATCACATTAGTGGTGGGGATGATTAGACAAAGTTTGGTTGACGCCATGATATACCTAATATAAATACAAAATTTGACAACAATCGGCCCAGTACTTTCGGAGATTATCTGTCTAATAAAAATCCGGGACGGCAGACAGACGGACAGACGGACAGACAGACAGACAGACGGAAACGGGAGACCTATTTCTTCGTCCTCTAGGGTTCATGATAGGTTGAGAAAATGCAAAAGTAGAGAGTCGGCCGATGGACTCGATTACAATACTTCCTTTGCTTAGGCTCGGGAAGTAAACATTTAAATGGCCTTTAATGAAAAACACTTTGCAGGCACGTCATCAAGATGTTAGTGAGAATTTTTAGACTAATTTTGGTTTGCGTTTTACCATCTTTTACATTATCCCAAAATACATATAAAATTTGATGACAATCAGTTCCGTAGTTTCGGAAATTATCTGTAAAATAAAAATCGACACAAACGACAGATAGACGAAAACGGGATTCCTATGTTTTCGTATTCGACCTAGGTACAATTATAGAACTATCGACCGATTTATTTGTGTATTTTAGTAGTCATGAAAAACCATTCACAAACTTTTGAATACCTACAGAATAAAGAATGCCCATTCTGGCCTAAATAAACAACCCCAAATTCTCAAAGATTTATTGCGCCTTTCTGCAGTATTAGAATAATTCATTAGAACACTTATTATCAACTCGATTTAAATTTTAACACTGGTGAAATAGCAAACATAAAAAAATACCACTTATTAGTAAGTTAACGATTTAGAGGAGCGGAAATGTTCTTGCAATATTTTTTCTCCATAACAAACACTCATCTTCAAACAAATGACAAACCTGGTGCTATATACAGGGTGATGAAAAAATGACGTATAAGCTTGATGGTTCGTTGTTAAAAAGGCTCTGAAAAACTCGAAAAAAATTGCTAAAAAAATCCCTGAATTTTATTTAATGTGAATTTAATCGACAAATTCCGACAAAAATTGTGAAAAATGGCATTATTTAATTGTGTGTGAGACAGGCAGTTCATTCAAACAAATCAGAATTACGAAATTAATTCTTCAACTTCGAAGTTTAATATTTTCGAAAGTTTGATGCAGGGATTTTTTTAACCATTTTTTCGAGTTCTTAGAGCCTTCTTTACCACGTACTATCCACTTCATACGTCATTTTTTCATCACGTCGTATAAATTATAACTTGTTTTACCCCCTTTGTGAATTAGGAGTGACGTATTCCGGCCAATACCAGTTTCCAGAATGAGTAATTCAGTAGGTATACGAGACTTCATTCACAAGTAAATTGGTCGCAAGTTCTTAGGCTAATAATTTTGTTTAACCATTGGAATGACGATTTAGATGTCATCAGTAGCCAGATTCCATCTTTTACATTTGCTGCAATCGATGTAACCTTAAGATGTCTTTTTTATAGTCTTGTAAATAATAATCAAGTAATATGTATATTTATAGACACCGGTCACATGTTAACCACTATTTTCCGAAGCGAACATTGTTTATTAAATAGAAAATGAAAAAAGTTATAACTTTTAATTATATTTTTATAACCTTATGATAATTTGTGTATAAGTGTTCAAACAAAGTGGTGAATGTTTCAGTTTTCTTTAGCTTTATGGCGAATGCGCAACTTCAACGTGTGAGCGCTAGGTTGTGACGATCTCTGGTGTTTAGTTTACTCGTCGCTGCCGTCGTGGTGCAGGAATTGATTATTATTTGAGATCAATTTTCTAGACATAACACTACGACACTGAAATAACATTCGGCAAACGACACAATTTTGAGTGAACTACAATGAATTCAAAACATCTTAGGAAAGGTAAGTCATTAATTATATACACTTCGAGAGGCACTATCCGTGCATTTCGCAAGTGAAGTCTTAATTTGGTTTCTAGTTAAAATAAATATTACCGCATTCTTTAATATATAGCAGAAATTGCCAATTTAAAATAAAAACGAGTTTTTTGGTTATGGTCGTATTTTGTCAGCATTGTGAAATAAATAAGTATACGCTAAAAAAGGCACTATACAAATACGTGAGTGTGTTTTACACCAACACGTATCTGATAAAATGATAATAAACTGCATTAGCTAAAGAGACCTGCAAACAAAACTTTCTTGCATTTATGTTAATATTTGTTTTGTGTGTGCTTATTATTCTCAACTGCCCACCTATTCTGCAAAAACTACTTTGTAATGAATTCATTTATATAAATGTGTGTTTACAGTGGCTATTAAGTAATGAAGTTCCGTTGTTTGAAAACTTTATTTCAGGTTATATCGAATGTTGTCATATTTATTTTTGTTCCATTGCCTCACTTGAATTTAAAATTTCCTGCTGTTGTAACATGCTGTTGACCTTATTTCCGTCTATACCTACCTATAACAGGCAGAAATAAATTATGGTAACAGTAAAATAGTACAGCTTTGTTTATTAATGCAGCAAGCTATTTTAAGACTCATAAAACATAATCTCCGCAATTCCTTTTTTAAAACTACCATATACGGTTATAATAAAAATACTTATAAAGTTATAACACAACACAATATCACAAATGTACGTAACAAAACAAAACGTATTGTACAAATAATTAAATTTAATAGAAAGCTTCATTAATAAAGCAAGTTGAAATTCAATCACGTTCTTATTAAACAACAATTTTTATTTGTATGAAATAATATACAGGGTGGAAATTACTTACGGAATAAAAATTCAGTAGGCAACTGCAAAACTGTTGGTATTTGTCTAAAACACTGAAACAGGTCAATTTTTATTTCTAATTAGATATGTTTTTTTTACATATATATTACGTCATTCACTTTCGAACTATGAAGAGTATGACCTTCTTTTTAATGAAATTTAAAAAAATGAAGAGCTCTTAAAATACGTGGGTTCCTTGAAAAAGTCCTTAAAGGTACTATCTACAAATAACAAAAAAATACATATGACGCAGTAGTTCAAAAGTGGATGGCGTCGTAAACAATTGAAAAACTTAAGAAGAGCAAAATTAGAAATAAAAATTGACCTATTTAAGCGTTTTCGACAAATACCCTTAGTTTTGAAATTGCTGAATTAATTTCAGTAGTAATTTCGACACTGCATATTTGCATTCAAATTTTTGTGACGTCACAAAAGTTTTAACTTCCACTTCTGCCTGTCACACTATACCATATTTTGTGCCAAATATTCAGGCTCCTGGATTAAATGATCTAATTCGTATGGTAGCTGATGCAATGAGTTCAAATCTATTTTCAGAATTTCTCTATTGCGACAAAAATGCTCAACGTTTATTAGTTAACAGAATTAGGCTTTTCATGTCAACAAGGGTGGCAATCAAATTTAAAAAAATAATTACAAAAATTGTTGAAAACTATTTTTGTGCTTTGCATAATTCAAAAATGTAATTTGATAGAAAAAAAAAAGAATTCTGCTGTCAGATCTGAATTTAGCACATTACAATTTATAAAATATACTTATAGTTTTTTTTGAGCCATTGTTATTTCAGGACAGTGTGATTTGTAAGGTAGTTAGGTGAATTAGAAGTGATTTTTTATTTTTTAGACGAGACGTGGTTTGATAGCCACGAAATATTAAAAAAACGGTTAAGTAGATAATTTGTACAAACAGATAAGAAGAAAGAGAACCACTGTTCCCCATGCTGGTTCCTGCTGGAACCTTGTTGTTGTCGATGAAGGACGTGCAGCTGGATTACTACCAAGATATGTTTTTTATAAATGGTTTAAAATTTCCTTTCAACTTTCAAACAGAATAGCGTCAATTGTTATAGATAACTCACGCCATCGTTTGGTGGTATTCAACAAAAGTTCAGTCGCAGCGGCAAAAACACCGAAATCATAAAATGTTTATTAAAAGAGATTAACTTTTTTTTGAGAAAATTTTGCCAAGAACCTGTCAAAATTGTTTAATTTTGAAAAAGAATATGTACTTAATAAGGTAACTGCAGCCCGTGGTTATTGGTTAAATAGTAGTCAATCTACCAACTTTCAGTCAATTTTTAACGTTACTGTAATGATTTGAAATTTTCGAAAAAATGATCCAAGTTAAAATATTTTTAAAACGGTAAAATATTTCTAAAAATTGATATTCTGGACTAATATTTATACATGCAAGTTTTTAGAAATAAACATCAAAATTATACAACAACTTTGAAATTTTGCACATGCTTTTAGATTATTCGGACATACATTGATCCCCACTAAAAAATTGATGACGTCACCACAAAATTTTATTAAAAAAATCTAAGAGACAAATGAAGGAAAATTTTGGACCAATTTACTCCTGCACATGTGGTTTATGAACCTCTGTTAAGTTTTTATCCTAGACATCCAGATTTTTGGAGAAAAAATCAAGGTTGCTCTTACAAGTAACTTTGAAGCTACAAAACTGAATGCTCTGAAATTTTGGAAACGTTTTAAAGTTATCGTAACCATGGTAAATCGTTAATCAATTTTTTTCGTTGTTGGCACTTTAAAACATGACATGATTTTAGAATTTTGCCGAATAAATGTTCTATATTATTTACATTTACCAAATATAAATTTTGGTGATTCCAAAAGCATTGTTTGTTATTTCAAATCCAATTCTCTTTTGAATGACTCGGGTTTACTGTATAATTTTTTTAAGCAAACAGGCCAATTTTGATGTTGAAGTTTGTATTGCTTTTTTATAAAATAAAAAAAGTCAATTTTCGTCATGAAGTTTTTTTAATGCATTTTTTTTACATTTGACTCTATTGTTAAGGTTATCTTTTAAAAAGTTGTGGATTTATAAAGATTTTGACCACCGCTGACTTCCAGATTTTTACAAAAAAAAAAAACCTTCAACGTCAAAATTGGCCTGTTTTCCAAAAAAAAAAACATAAAGCACCTTATAATAAATTAAAAAACAAAATGTGGGGTGGAACGTACGATTTTCCTTACTAGTAATTTGCCCCTTTTTTTGGTATTATATATATTTAATTTTATAGGACTGTATACTCCTGCATGTGTGATTCATGAATCCGTGTCGAGTTTTCAAGACATCCAGATTTTTGAGAAAAAAATCAAAATTGTATAACAACATTTTACAATTTAACTTTGAAATTGTAAAACCGAATGCCCTGAAAACTTGCAAGGTTTTTAAGATTTTCGTAAGCATTTTTTTCGTTTATAATTCCTAAAAAATGGTGACGTCATTTTATAATTTTGTAGAATAAATGTTTCTTAAATTTTATAGAATTACATATTCTATGTATGTTTGTATGAGATTTTTGGAAAAAAATTCAAAATTAGTCCTGCATGGGTGATTTATGAATCCGTGTTGACTTTTTACTCTTAGCAAAAATAAATCAACATTGTATAACAAATATAACAATGTTTTATAATTTAACTTTGAAATTGCAAAACCGAATTCTGTGAAAACATGAAGATATTTTAAGATCTTTTTATGTCCTTTGCTCACAAAATCAACCAAATTTCATTTTCTTTTAACCGCTGATGCTAGTAATCTGAACGTACTAAAAGTCGAATTCGGTCGAACTATGAACACAAACAGTCCAAGATAAGCATATTCTGAAAAATTGAAAATGTTTATATTTTTCCCGTTGGTTTTTCTTGGTAGCGTCATCGAAATTCTAAAAACAACATAATTTTTGTCGCCGGCAAAACTGAAACTAATAGTAATAGTAATAATACCCAAAACAATACCACAGGGCCCCACTTTGTAAATTTCCCGGTGATCCCCATGTCCTCAATCCGCCAGTGATAGCACACAACTTTTTTTAATAGCACACCCTTTTATATTTTTACATGTTCTCGTTCCAGGCTTTAGAGCTATAGTTTATTTTTGTAATTCCAATGCGACATTGCCATATTTTTCCAATTTTCTTGAATTTTTTTAGCAATGCAAGGGTTCACAAATAATCGTAGTAATAAATATTATTTTTTAGATCTGTGTAGTAATATTTTATCTAGAGATAAACAAGGATACACACTTTGTTGTGGTATCAATTAAATCAAATTTTAATATACAGACCCTTTATAAGAAATCTAATACGTTACAATTTTCAAATTTCAGTTTTTCAATTTTTTCAAATTACAGCATCTTACTCTATTTTTTTGTTTTCTTTCTTTCAATATGTCGGTGTATCTCTCAAAGAAGTAAACAATTGCAGTAACTATCAACTGTAAATGTAGAAATATTTAAAATGAAAGAAAAAAAAACATTTGAAAAAGCTGAAATATCATCTCTCGACAAAATATTGTAACAAAAATTTTAAAAATAACCCTATTTCGTTTTTTGTGAACTCTTTCATTGCTAAAAATTGATTACAAAAAATTGGAATAACGTGACAACGTCGCATCGAAATTTCAAAAATATCGACTGTTCAGTGATAGTGATGTTGCTGATGGCACACCCTTCCTCTTTTCGTCCTTTCAGACTCGTCCGATTTTCCTTGTTAATTTTGACAGGTTTCCAAATATGCCATCAAAGTAATCATATTCCATAACCAGCATCTGTGGAGTTTGTTGTAAACAATACGTTTGTGATTGTATTTACTTTGGATTACATTGTTCGCTTGAGTTCGTTGTACAGCATTCGTTTTTCACAATCCCATTACCTAATAGGGAGAGAAGTAATAAATATCTACGAAAAATGTTGTAACGATGATTGCATTTCCAATTATTTCCTTTACTAGTAGTTAGTAGTTAGTATCCTACACGAACCAGAAAATGGCGACCTTGCCATTTATTGACTAAACTGGAGGAAACACTCTGACAAATCGATACTGTGTCATGGGCGTTTTTGTTGTTAATTCAACGACGATAAAATCCGAGAGATTGACTATCGTATTTTATATAATACGTAACATCGTACTAGCTTTTATTTTAATTTTTTTTTGTATATATATAATTCTTACAGTAATTTTATTTTCAGGATCAAGACAACCATCACCAATATCAAAAGGGAAAATTCGCTTATACAGCAATCGATTTTGCCCTTATTGTCAACGAATCGTCCTAGTTTTAGATGCGAAAAAGATTCCGTATGTTTTAAACAACTTTGTAGATTGTAGTAAGACATGCCGAAATAGCTCAGTTGGGAGAGCGTTAGACTGAAGATCTAAAGGTCCCTGGTTCGATCCCGGGTTTCGGCACTTGTTTTTTTTTTCTTTTTTTTTATCATAAAATAAGAATATACATATTTTTAAAGAAATCACATGATAATATTTTAAAATAGCTATTATAATTACAACCATACGTGGAATTATTGTTTTAAAACAACTCCTCAGACTGTAACAAGTAAATGTTTCAGATACGAAGTGGTTAACATAAATTTAGTTAGTAAACCAGACTGGATGTACGATAAGACTCCAAGTGGAAAAATCCCTGCCTTAGAGTTAGACAATGGAGAAGTGCTTTACGAGTCTTTAATTATTGCTGATTATTTAGATGAAAAATATCACGCTCATCATTTACATTCTAAAGATCCTCTACAGAAGGCGAAAGATCAACTTTTATTGAGGCAGTTTACCAAGGTATCACTTTTTGTACAGCTTTATTGCTAATTAATTAATAAATTTTGTACATAATTCCATAACTATACGTATGAGTCATCTCTTTTAGACTACGGAAATTCTTTATAATGAACTCAAACGCATCACTTACTTTATTTACATATTTGCTTTGTGTTTTACATAAATTTACAAACAATAGTTTTTCTTAGAAAACAAAAAGTCTAGTCACCATAAACAATTGGATAGAAAATGTGCTTTATTTCGTCTTCTGACTTCTCTTTTTCATCCACACAAAACTGAAATTCTTTTTTATTAATATTAATAAATCCACGATATTTCTTTTTTAGGTGATAAATGCCTTACTCAAGACTGTTTCTGCGGGCAGAGTTGATAACGATGAAGCGGACATTATTACTGAAGGTCTCACGACATTTGAAAAAGAATTAGCTAATAGACCTGGCCCATATTTTAGTGGTAACAAACCAGGAATGTTGGATTACATGATATGGCCATGGTGTGAAAGATCCGATGTTTTAAAAATGTTCGGTAAAGAGTATATCTTAAGAAAAGATAAATACAAGAGATTGGTAATCCGAATGTTTATTAATGTTTTAATTTTTCAAAATCGCTGATATTTTTAGATGGAATGGCGAAAAATGATGATGGAAGATGAGGCTGTGAAAAAAAGCTGTTGTGATGTAAATACTCATATTAAATACTTGCAGTCCTACAGGGCAGGAATACCTGACTACGATTTACTTAGTTAAAAAAAATGAAATTTGTGAATATATTATTGTATTACCTAATTATTGTAAGTAATTAGGTTTTAATAAGTACATAATCCGTATCATCAGTGTTGTCGTGTCACCTTTATATTTTTTATAAGCAATATATACAATTAACATACGTAATTTTAGACAGATTAATAAATATGTTAATGTTAAAAATCAAAAAATTAAAATTTGAGTACTTACCATTTAAAGAGTTTTTTATTATTATTATTGATACACTGTAGTTACAAAAATTGAGGCTGCTGACAACATTTTTACAAAGTTCAAAATGACTTGAAAAAACATTTTTAAATTTAAAAATAAATTTGTATATAGGTAGCCAACAATATCATGGAAAATTTATAAGAGCAGGGTCCTCCTTCCACAATACATTGACATTGATTAAGTGCATGTACTTAATCAACGCACAATAATAAGAGATAATGAAACAACTTATTATATTATCGATTCGGTCTGTTGATCCAAGTTAGACATATTTTTCGATTTTCAATTTTACCATTGTTTTACTTCTAGAAGGTAAGTATCTTCTGTGGTTACAAGGGTTACAAGTTACAACGGTGGTAACAAAACTCACAAACGATAATGTACCGTGGCCGGAACTTTAATAACATCAATAATCAAAAACCTTGATACGATCTGATACGATTAAACTAATTCAGTTGGATAACCTGCTTGTCATTCTTGTTTGACATTTGTGGCCTGTGTGTGATTCGGCTGACCGGGATATCGACGCGCCACGTAGCGGAAAGAATGTGAACCCTCCAGAGGGAGATAGCTCTGACTCGTGCGTGGTGTTTATTTTGTGTTTAATGCTTTTTAGTGCTTTTTAGTTGTGTTTAATAGTGTTTAGTTGTGTTTAATAGTGTTTAGTTGTGTTTAGTGTTGTTTTTTATTGTGCGATTCATTGTTGTTTAGAGTGTTTTAAGACAATTTCCCTTTCGTTTCGTGTTGCTTGTGTTCTTTTGTACTTATTATTAGTTTGAGTTGTAAATATGTTGATTTCGATCAGTAACATAAAGTCGCGATCTTTTCTATAGAACCACTCCCTAGTGTAAATTTTCAAAATTTGTTTGGTGTAAGTGACCTTGACGGGTTTCTGGGGGAAAACATATGTGTCAAAAATTTGACAGGTTAGATGGCCCCATTGTTAATGTAGATATTTTATTTTAATAAATAGATGAACAGAACATACAGTCTGCACGGGATACAGTGCGGCATATTTGAGGGCAACCGAAACATTCGTGTTGTGCTAGTTTCGATTGCCATATCAACTACCGCTACCAACCGCGTTCGGCGTAAAGTACTAGATGACAGGGCTATCAACTTGACTTTTTATCGAGTGGTTCCGTAGAAATGACCGCTACTGTATACAGTTACATACAAGACAATGCGTGTGTTGATCGAAAAACGCGGCCCCTTGAACAAGGAGAAGCACTGTATGTGGCTGGCTTAATAGGCAATTGCACTTTTGAGGGACAAAACATCGAAGCACGGTGCATAGCCTCAAAAATTAGTGCAGCACCTCACGAAATTCAAATTCAATTTGCAGATTATTCAGGTGATGTGACATTCTGAAAATATGTTAATATAGACCTAATAATGGATTGTCTTATCAGATTACAGACAGTGGAACTGTGTCTGCAGCTGCAAAGCAGGAGCAGGAGGGAAATGTAAGCACATAGTTGCCACCCTACTGTATGTTTACAAGTAAGCTGCACCGTTTCTTGTTGAAATCATAAACATTTCATTATAATTTTAGTGCTCAGAGTATAGGCCTACTTAGTTGCACCGATGTTCCCCAGGCATGGGGCAAACGGAAGCGGGAAGAACTAGTAGAAGTTGTTCCTGTGGAACAATTTTGCCATGTTAAGTCATCGGAGCATTCCAAATGTGATATGGCAGGAATTATTCCAGAAGATTTCGTACAAAAGTGCTTTGAAGGTAGACATCAAATTATATAAATTGATTTTGTATTATCATTTATTTTTTTGTAATAGTTCTCCCGAATTCTGGAGCTGCCATGCTGTTCAAGGGGACTATTAATCCTGAAGATAGGTCTAGGTTGTATCAAATAATTGTTATAAATGGCATCATCAAGCCTTAGCAATTGTTAATGATATAAACACATCTTTATTTAAAAGTTTTTGCTGCTGCTGTTTTTTTTTCTTTTGCAGGGATGATCTCTTCAGTGCAATTTGCGACAATGCTTATCGGAGCGAATTGAGTGAGGTAATATACCAGGTTAATCTAGATGCTCCCTTACGGAGGTGTTGTGTAGCCACCTACAACAAATTGTATCCATGCGACGGATTTGAAATTTGTAAAGACACATTTAAAAGCAAAGCCACATGGATGCAAGAACGACAGTATAGAATAACCGGTTTGTTTTCATAATTTTTATGAGCTTATTTAACATGATGTTACAGGTTCAAGATGTTACACCTTATTTACATACAGTCAGGGTGACTGGCATACCAAAGCCGTGAAATATTTTTATCCCAAATCATTTAAGGGAACCTATGCCACAAGATATGGCAACAACCAAGAAGATTTTGCCCGGCAAGCATATATGACCAATCTCCCAAGTGCCGAAACTGTAATCCAGTGTGGGCTGATTGTGTGCCAAAAGAATCCATGGTTGGCCTGTTCTCCTGATGGCATTGTGTTTCGGGATAAACGACCAATTCGTTTATTAGAAATTAAGTGTCCTGTTTTAGGTGAACCAAGCGAACTTGTAACTGAAAAATTTTATGAAAACTTGTTTTTATAGGTGCAAAAAAAACCATTACTGAATGTCTTCCATCATTGGAGTACATGGAATTTTCAGAGGGGGAAGGCTGGACATTGAAGAGACGGCATGGGTATATGGCCCAAATACAATTGTCCTTGGCAATTTTAAATTTACTAGGTTGCGATTTCATCATTTATTCAAGTTTTGACAGATCTTTTTATTTGCTAAATATAGATCGGGACGAAATATTTTGCAATGATCTCTTGAAAAAATTGAAAAGTGTTTTCTTTCAAAATATGTTGCATGTATTGTGTGAACCACTTTAAAAAAAATAATAAAAAACTTATCAAAAATCAAAATGTTATTTTTCTAATATAGAACAATACATAATTACAAGAAAAACTTAAAATTTATCAACAGATAAAATTGGACTTGACAAATTTGTTAAAGCTACTATCACAATAACAATACTGTTAATATTTCTTAATAATTTAAATGGCAATATATTTCGACAAATTTTAAATTTTTTTATTCGCTGGATAGCTCGTTCTACGTGCACTCTCGCTCTGGCTATTTCTGCAGTCCTTAATGCTTCCGCCTTTGTTAGTTGTTTTTTCTTTTTTAAAAACGGTGGACGTATCAGTTGTATTCCTTTGTTAGCACATTCTTTATCGATTAAAAACCCTTTATCTACCATAATCCCATCACCTGGAGAAAATTTTGAAATCATATTTTCCTTGTTGAATATGGCTTTGTCAGACGCCCTACCACCGTAAGGTTTACTTAAATATGTTATAGTTCCTGAAGGAGCTACACCAATTAAAAATTTTACTGTATGTCTACCTTTGTAAAATGAGTATGTTCTGATTCTGCATTTTAGACATTTACATTTTTCTATTTCTAATTCAGTACAATCGAGTACAATTCTAGTATTAGAATAATTTTGAAAACAAATTGGCATGCTCCTTTTTATTTCTTGTTGGCTAGGAAATCTAATTACACTTTTTAAACAAAAAGCCAAATTAGTTATTATGCGCTGAAAATATGTTTGAGCTGTTGTATGGCTAACATTAAAGAATATGCTTAAAGAAGTAAATGGTACATCTAATTTCAATCTCATTAATGATAGAAGTATCAATTTTTTTATATTTAGTTTTGATTTGATTTTCATGTGTTGCGCTAAAGTTGATGTTAATAAATTAAGAAAAGCAAGACTTTGTATGCCAGTCAAGATTCGAAGTTTGTAATCAGTATTTATTATGTCTGATACATCAAATTGATTGAATTCCTCGTACGTATTTACTTGTACACCTTTATCTGCATATTCTTTAACATTTGTAGGAGCATTACTGTGACCCCAGGATGTTAAAACTTCCGCAACGTCCACTTCATCTTGATCATGTGTTCTAGGAAAATAAGCTCAAAAAGATTTAAATATCATGAACAGATGCATACATAGAAATAATATTCATTGTTTCGACAGACCCCTCATGATCTCGAAATTCGTTTTCTTGCTGTTGCATACTTTTAATTTCTTTATTCCTACAAAGGGGATGTGCTGACTAGTAATTACCTATTCGTCAGCATTATTATTTTATACTCACTTTTTACGATTTTCAGATCTTTGTTGCCTCTGAAAAATCAAATTTTCATTGATTTCTCTGTCATGCATTCTTTTTGGAAGATTTTCCGAAGGCACTGCATTTGGTTTTAGTCTCTGTAGTTTACATTGATAACCTAAGAATATATTTTAAATAATTAAATAACCAGACCAAATATAGAGGTTATGTTATTCTTACGTCTATTTAAAAAATAGTCTTCATCACGAAAATGTTTGCTACAGACTACCATATGTTGGCTAACTTCCTTTCCTATTTTTAAGGCATTAATCCATTTTTGTCGCAATAACTTGTTTAACGTTGGGAATTTGTGGAACGAAATATTGCTAGAGTAATACGTCGTGCACATGGGCACGCAGCAGTATTTATTACTTTTGTTTCGGCGTTTAGGGTCCATTTTTCACAGAAATAAATAATATACACCAATAAAACAACTCAATTTTAAGCCACAAACACTATTTTTCACAACGTACACATATGACACTCAAACGTTTATCTCCTTTTCGGTCTCCATTGTTGTTGTTGTGTCGCGCGCCACCTATAGTTCGTTTGCAAGCCGAATTGTCAACAAAAAGTTGACAAACTTCAAACATCCCTTTGTTTCTTGTTAAAGAAAATGTGGTATTTGTGACGAAGATGTCTCTCTGGAAAAAATCATTATTGATATTCGTATTTCTTCGTTCGAATTTTGCAATATGATTAATGTGAAATTTGTCTGTGATCAGTGACCCGAATGTTTGTGACAACGTAAATTACTACATATTGAATGAATCATCTAACAGTTTAATTATCTAACAGTGGCAATGTCCGAGGCGAATGTTCGAGACGACGATGCTCTACCCAAAGGGAGGGTAACTGAAGTATGCCAGGAGTGGATGGTGAGAGAAGATGGGGCCCTAGCATATCGTTTACAGAACCAAGAAATCACGGACCATCTCTCAGGAAATCGATTCCGTAACGCTGTAGTCCGCGAAGACTTCCCTAGAGCTAAAAGCGAGCAGCTTAGAGAGCAACGTTTAGCTGAACAAACTGCATTAATTTATCAACGTATGTTAGCTGAGCAAGAAGAGCAGGATAACAAGGTTGCTAGACAGCTAGCGGAGCAGCTGGAGCGTGAAGAACGAAACAAGCGACGACTGTTGGAAATACATGACCAAGATGTGGCAAGGCAGCTTTTACATAGAGAAAGAGTCAATGTTGAAAGACAACAAATGTTATCTTGTCAAAGACCACCACCACCTCGTAATTATGAACAAAACATATCTCCTCATAGACCAGATTCATATAATTATCAAGCTAACTTACCTAGAAGGCAGGCTAAACCAATGCCGCTTCCTCAGACTTTTCAAAATGAGGTTTCTGATTTATACACAGAGCCCTATCGTAGCCCCGAAGTTCTTGCTAAACAACTAGATAGAATTGATATTGCTGAAGTGGGTCTTCCACTTGATGAAGTGGCAGAGAAACAGCTTCAGGAGGAACGAGATGCCGCATTAGCACGTCAGTTGCAAGAACAAGAAGGTTCCTTAGAAGATAGTTTGTTAAACCGAGACCGAATGCTAGCAATTGAAGCTCAAGATAAGGAACTGGCTAAGATGTTGCAAGAAAGAGAAAGGAGCAAAGCTAGACGGGCTCGTGAACGCGCTAAACAAAAAGCCCTTGCAAAGAAACAACAGTTGGAATCACAACAAGGTACTACTAATCAAATCATGCCCGATGATTCTTATTCATATCCAGCGGATTTAATACCGCCTAGAGCTTCTATTCCAAGAAATCATGCATCTGATACGTATGCACTACCAAATCAAAATGAAGATGATATTAATTACAGTTTACCTGCTGATGTTATACCTTCACATAGTTTAATAGACAATAATATGAAATCAAATTATAGCCCCCAGAAAAGCTATGAGCAACGGTATGCCTTAAATGAAAAAGTACTAAATAGTGCTGACTCAAGTGTTCGTCCGTCCTTTGATACTGATAGAAGCAAGGAAAATACTCCAGCTGTTAGACCAACCCAGCTGGATTTGAAGTATATTGTTTTAGTTAATCTGACAATGTTATAATATTGTTTGTTTGCAGATCTCCATTGAATCGAATAAACAAGCCAAGATATCCTGAACCAGAAAGCTGTGATAACGCAAGCGGGCACTCAACGTCTCCTGGTTCTCAACATATCAATATAGCAATGGCCATTGACCCAACATATCCTAAAAGAGGAATGCACTCTTCTTCCAGTTTTGATACTTCTTCCAGTACTGTTACTACAAGTACATCTAGTAGTAGCCCTGGTATAGTGTTGCCCCCACCAGATATTGCGGAACTAGATGATGATAGCAATATTCCTCCATATATGCCTATTCAAGGACAACGCAGGACGGCGTCCTTGGAAAAGAAACAAAAGAAGAAAGGCAAAGATGGTGGTTGTAAGCAGCAGTAATCATTTTCCAAAGTTTTTATAGTTTATATTTTCATTAATTTATTTCTATACTCAGCAGATCTTCTATGGATATATCAGATTAGACAATATTTCCAGTATCTTTTTTTTATGTTTAATAATATTCACATACCAAAATATACATGCTCAATATATATTTTATAAGGATGAATTATGACAATTATATTTATAGTGATATTACACAATTTGGTAGCAGGTTTTATAATCTATTATGTTTTTTGTACTTCTTTTTATAAATTAAACATTTTTCAAGTTTTTTATGTTTGCTTTATTACCAAAATATTGTATTCACAGTGCAAAAAATTATTCAAAAACTTATTAAATCCACTTTGCTTCTTATAATATGTACAAATGGTAATACACACTTGTTGCAGTTGCATTTCAGTCCTGTGATGAAGTTAAAGGCTCCAATTCTTGAATCACATTGTGGGCAGTTTATTCTTCCTTTCGACCAGTTTTCTGTTTCAATTTTGTCCTTGATCCATTGTGGTACATAATCCTCGTTGAGGAAAATCACATTTTCCAAATTACACACAGTTTCGTTGGATATTTCCAACTTTTCACTATGTGAATTCAAAAATAATGACTTACATACTTCTTCGTCAAATATTAGATTTCTACATTTCTTACATTTCACTGAAGAATACATTTAAATGTCATTAAACAGAACCAAATGTATAATGTGTAAAAAAATATTTTTACATTTAAATATAACCTTTATCTGTATAACCTTAAAAAAAAGCAACAAAAAATAGTTCACCGAATCTGTCACTAGAGGGGCTGCAAGCATTTTCTATAAAAACGTAAATGCCTCCCAAATGTTAATTTTTTAAATTTGTGAAACAATAAACAAGAATCTTGAACCATTGAGACTTCTACATATTTGCTCAATTACGTTTTTTGCTTAAATTAAATATTTAAATGCAATGTTTAAAACATGCGGTGTAGGTATTTTTAATTTATAACCAGGCAAGAGTTTTGTTGGCCACAATGTTCAAATTCCGCGCGATTTTCTCTGTCACTGTCAAATTCTTAAACAGTAGGGGAGATAATGGGTTTTTAAGTAACAACAAACAATTAGAACATTAGTAATCTATGTGGCGTTTTGGAACGACGTAACATGGATCTGTTAGAAAATCCTGAAATAAAAAGTACGTATGATAAGTGTAAATACGTTGTCAAACTATGGGAGCACAATTTTACGAAGACACACGGCCGTTTACCCTCGAAGGTATTGTGTACTTTTCTTAGCATTTTTTAATTTATTAACTCTTGTCCACATTCAGTTAGATATTCGTGAAGCAGATAGAAAAGTTAGAGCAGCGTATCGCCAGTACTATCAACTAAAAACAGCAGCTTTAGAACAGAGCTTTAAAGGTGTCGATGGTTTTAATTCAGACGACGAAAATAACGAAAAAGTACCCGAAAACAGCCCCGCAATTGAAACCAACGACACAGTTCACGTAGAAACTGTAGAGGAACCGGCCAGTGAAGTGTGGGGTTCACATTTAGACAACAAGCCTGAAAAAAGAGCAGACGATGACAAACCAAATTTCAACACAACTCTATCAAAAAAGTTATTTTGTGGCTCAAAATTATCAAAACGGTATTCACGAAAGTCATCGTCGTTTTCACAGAAGAAAAATGAGTCATCAAGTTTTGATAATTCGGTTTTGTCTCAACCAACTCAGTCTTTTACAGAAAGTAGTTCTGCAGAAAAGGATCGCGTATCTTTTGAAGGAATATTTAATAAAAGTAATGTGAAAATAGTGGCTCCTTCTGAGAAAGTTACTTCACAGTCAACAAACATAGTACAAAGTGTTTTAGATAATAAGTACAAACCATTGAAATCTGTTGATTCAGGCTGGCTTGAAAGAGTGGGGATGACTACTGGTGTTGAAATTGAAAAATCCAGTAGTTCAATGTGTAATGAATATCTTGACGAAACTATGATGCATCTTAATTATGACAGTGATGATATTATTGACAATTCGGATGAAGAAAACTCTGTAAATTTAGGACATACTGCTAAAAGAGCAAGACTTGACATATCCCAAAAAGTAGATAGTGTTACTGAAAACATGCAGACCCAAAATAGCGAAATTAATGTTAGTGAAGAAAAGAACATAAATTTGAGTGATGAGAAGAGCAAAAACCAAGACATTACTAATAATATAAATGAATCAAAAGTAGTAGTTGATGATCCTTTTGAGTTCAAAGAGGATGCTGTGTTGGATAATAGTGACATCCCCAATACCCCAAAGAACAAACTAAAAAAAACTACACCGCGAACTACTAAAAAAAGAAAGACAAACCCAAGAAAAAAAGTGACAGAGGAGCCACCAACTATTAGAGTTTCTCGTCGAAGTACTAAAACAAAAGTAAACATGGTTGAGTCCCATAGTGAAAATGAAGATCCATTCCATTCAGATAATGACTCCAATGATCCAGAATTTTCTCTCAGCAAAGAAAAAACGAAATATAGTGATTTATTGACTGAAGAAAATAGAGAAGATACACTGGTGGACACCTCCAAGAAAAGAAAGCCTAGAGCAAAAAAAGTAGCGCAGTTAAAAGAAAACAATGAAGAGGAAACTGAGTCCACATATGAATTAGAGTATTCAATTAAACCCAGAATTTCAGCACCACGCTTCAAAAATATTAAAAAACTCATCAAAATTGAAACATCAACAAAGATAATTAATAAAGAAGAAACAAAAGAAAATAAACCCCAGATTAAAAGTAAACGTGAACAAGAAAAGGAAAAGTTGCAAAAGAAAATCCAGTCAGGCAGTTTAAATGAGAATTTTATTACAATTAATTTGAAGAAGAAGATTTATAGCAGAGGCAAGAAAAATATGAACTTTAGCAGATACAAAAAACAGCAGTGGAAAAATAAGAAGAAGGCACTTGCTGGTCCTGATATGGATATGGGTGGCTGTGACGGCGGAATGCTTACTTGTTTCAATTGTGGAGATGTTGGACATTTTGCTAGAAATTGCCCAAAAACTAAAGGCGACACACTTCTACCTTTAGAAGCAGATGAAGAAGTTTGTCCATTTCCTACACTTGAAGATGCATCCAAAATGGCAAAAGAAAGTTCATTGGCTATAAGAAAATCAAACATGGTCACAACCTCAGAATCGCAAGAAGACACCCTGGATGGCTCAGATGACGATATATTTGACGACGGCGATACTGATCTTTTATTGGCGGAAACTTTAAAACTCGAAGAACATTTTGCCAAGTTAGATTTGCAGTCATACTTGGATTACGTGACAGTCGTGGAACCATATTATAAAACAAATGAAGATGGAATGGTTATAGGTATGTTCTTCAATATATGTAGGATTTTTTTTCTCATCAGAAAACTTATTTTAGAGACTCCAGAAGAAGTTTTCTCTGCTTTGAAAAAATTTGGTCATTCTTCATTTAGACCAGGGCAAGAACAAGCAGTAATGAGAATCTTGTCTGGAAAATCTACATTAGTTACCTTAAGTACTGGTTCTGGTAAAAGTTTGTGTTACCAGTTGCCGGCGTATTTGTATTCAAGAAGAGAACCTTGCATTTCTCTCATTATTTCCCCACTGGTATCTCTAATGGAAGATCAAGTCACTGGAATTCCAGCTTTTTTAAAAGCTGCTTGTTTGCATACTAATCAGACAAAAGTACAAAGACAGAAGGTTTTAGAATTAATATCATCAGGACTTTTGAATGTTTTATTGGTTTCACCAGAAGCTGTGGTTGCAGGGGAAAAACAAACAGGTTTGTGTAGAATTAATTCTATTTATGTTTATTTTTACCCAGTCATTAAAAATTTAGAGGAAATTACAACAAAGTAATTTAAGAAAATCTTGTGGAATATGATTGGTGTTGTTGTAAAATGATTATAATGTATAGGCGTATAACAGCGTTTAAATTATTATTATTAAGAATGATATAAATGCCTTCAAGTTGTTTGATAATGAAGTAGATGATATTTTTGACGTCAACAGTTTATGATATTAACAAATTTATAAATGCATTTAATTAAATCCCATTATAAAAAGAAATAGTTATTAAAAGTTACTTACGCTGGCACTACAAGTAGGTAGTAGTTTTAGAGTAACAGTTTCAGTTTTCTCTTGGTTACGAAACTTTTTGCCATCGTACGAATAGCAAAGAGCAAATAATTACCACAAACTTTGTGTAGGAATACTATTTAATAATTATAAAAGTCGTGAACGAACTGTTCTAAAGTTGTGTAAATAGAACTTCCTCCGCCTCTGAAGCACAATTAACTAAGTCCAGAACATTTTAGACAAATTATAAAATTAGATTCTACGACTTTTTTGTTATCATAACCCTTATAAGTTACAATAAAAATAAGGGTGGATTACTAAACTGCAGATAAAGGAGCGTATTGTGCCTACATTTCAAGGAAGATTTTCTTAATAAAATTTTGTGATGTCATCAAATTATATTCGGGATAAAAACATCAATGTGAATAGATACAGTTTGGTAGTTATAATAACAGTACTGTGCTGCCATAATTTCAGAAAAACAAGATATATATTTTTTATTCATTAAAATAAATGCTTCGTCCATTCATTTTTAGAGACATCCTATATAAACAGTTAAAAAAAAAATTAGAGCGTATGAAGAACCGACATGCACAGATATGCTATTCTTTCGACTTTGCAAAATTGTGAGATGACGTCATCCAGTTTTTGTAGGGAATATGCGAGTACATAAAGTCTGATTAGCGATTTACCTGTAAAATTTTGTTATACAATTTTGTTTTTTGCCAAAACCTACATACCCAAAGTTAAAACACAACAGGAATAGTAAGCTATATGTATAGATCCATATTATTTTGTATTTTAATAGAATTTATTTAAGAGAATTTTGAGATGACGTCATCTGACATCATATATTTAGTGGAAAATTTAGTTTAATAAAATGACAGACGGAAACGAGAAATCTATTTTTTCATATTTAAGTTTTAAACTTCTCAAATGTTTAGATGAAGTTAAAGTTAAAAAATAATCGTGTTGGATTTTTGTCAGGTTATCAAATTTCTCAAGTGTGCGTGCATGCATGTATGCAAGGTATGTCTTTCATTACTGGTTGCCATGATGTTACAATTCGTAAAAATATTGATCGTAGGTCGACTGGAATAGAAAGAAGTGCTATTTTATGCTAATCGATAATAATTCATTGAGAAAACTGGGGAAATTTATATAGTTTTGACTTTTGAGATATTTTGGTTGTAGTACCAATTTTTTATAATTAATTATTATTATTATTATTTAAAGTTTAGTTTAGAGCTGAACAATTTCCAAAGAACCAACGATTTTGAGATATTCCACACCCATTTCTTATCGCCCTAGAGTTGATTTACAGTATTTTTATAATCTTTGCTTTAAATTACATGAATGTTAAAAATAGTATATTATTAGCCAAGGTTGCAGAGCCAAGCATTCTAGACCGAGCGCAAATTAGAACCCGAGACGCGCAGCGTCGAGGGCTCTGAAGCGCGAGGTCTAGAAGTGGCTTTGCAACCGTGGTTAATATACTATTTTTTTCACTAGCAGAAACCATAAGACAATAAACTGAAAAAATAAACGTTCAATTTTTTGACGCAACATGATTTTGTTTTGATGTTTAATCAAACTTAATCTAAATCTTCAACACAAAGAAAACCGTTTATACTTGTCGCTGAGTTAATCATTTTATCTTCTACCGTCTACCAACTACCATGCGTATACTCAAGTAATGTTTGTAGCACACATTTCTTCATTTTTTAAGAAATAATCACATCAAACATTGCGTACATAACCTCAATTTTTCTTTTTGAACCCGTGGTAGCAAAAATTGAATTTGCTCCCTCTAAATGAGTCGACATTTGCATGCGTCCAGGCTGCTAGTGAAAAAAATAATTTTTCCTAAGTTTTAAAATACATTTTTCTATTTCTAGTTTTATTTAAAAATATTTCTGCAAATCAACCAATATAGTTATTACTTCCCGAGCGTAAGCAAAGGAAGTATTGTAATCGAGTCCGTCGGCCGACTCTCTACTTTTACGTTTTCTCGATCTTTCATGACCCCTAGAAGACGAAGAAATAGGTCTCCCATTTCCGTCTGTCTGTCCGTCTGTCCGTCCGTCTGTCCGTCTGTTGTCCCGGATTTTTATTAGACAGATAATCTCCGAAAGTACTCGACCGATTGTTGTGAAATTTTGTACTTATATTAAGAATATCATGTAGATGGTAAAACGCTAACCAAAATTTGTCTAATCATCCCCACCACTAATGCGATGACGTCACTTCAAAATTGTACATAGTAAATGGGTTTTCAATTGTATAAAATAACATAGTCCTACACATGTAGTTTACAACTCTGAATCGACTTTTCACCCGAAACGTCCAGATTTTTGGAAAAAAAATCAAAATTATAAAACAACATTTTGAAATTTAATTTTTAATCTGCTAACCAGAATGCTTTGAAATGTTGCAGATGTTTTAAGGCTATAAAGAGCATCATAAATCTTTAGTCAAAAAATATTTGCTTATCCCCTCCAAAAACTTGATGACGTCAGCTCAAAAGTTTGTGGAATAAATCGTATCTAAAATGTACAAAATATGATGAGTCTGTACTTGTGATCTATCACTCCATTCATATTTTTTGGATTTGCATATACAGGGTGACTCAAAAAAATTAATGAATGCGTAAATATATTTTATTGATTTAATCAGGAACTACAAAACCGAATGCTCTGAAATCTTGTTTTAAGGTCATAAAGAGCATAATAAATGTTTAGTCAAAATATATTTGCTTATCCCCTCCAAAAACGTGATGACGTCAGCTCGAAAGTTTGCCGAATAAATCATATCTAAAATGTACAAAATATGATGAGCCTGCACTTGTCATTTATCACTCCATTCATATTTTTTGGATTTGCATATACAGAGTGACTCAAAAAAATTAATGAATGCGTAAATATATTTTATTGATTTAATCAGGAACTACAAAACGGAATGCTCTGACATCTTGCACATGTTTTAAGGTTATAAAATAAAAATTTCAGGAGCATAGTGTTAAGAGTTCTGTAGATGATTATGAGATCTCTTGAAACAACAGAATGTTTAATAAAGATTTTTAACTTTCCTAATAGTAAAATTACAATTATTACTAAACAGTAAGTTGAAGTAAGTTTTAAATTAAGAGAATGCAACTAACACCGAAAGAAAAATGAAAGTTACTGAAAATAAAAAACTTTATTGCAGTACCTACATACACTTTCTACATCTAATTTTGTTTATTGATCACATTCATTTACTTGAAAAAGTATCAGCACAGTAGAGATAACAATCAGTAGAGACAGCTCGTGTCGGCGCCTTTGTTCTTTCTGACCCGAATTTTAAGCCGTCATGGGTGGTCGTTGCCTAAACTATTCCTAGATGTCGCCACCCAATTTAAAAAGTATCACTTCATTTACAATTTCAAAAATTGATTCGTGTACGCAATTTATTGCAAACTGTGCAGTTTTAAGGTGGTCTTCTGCATTGTGGTGACTGATTCTTCTTCATCAAAACGACGACCTACATTTAACTTTAAAATTTCTTCCATATCAGGCTCGCAGTTTTGATTACCTGTGTTCGTTTCATCAAAATAATCTTGTATGATTAATTTTCTAAAAGCCATTTGAAATTGATTAGATGTGGGGTTAATAGAATTTCCATTTTGTTTCCTAATCCATCCAAAACAGTTTTCTAGTGCGTCTGTCTTGGCAAAGGCGTCTTATTAATATATAGTCAAATCCATTTTACCTAACAACTTAACCCGTAAGCGTAATATCATATAAAGTAAAATTTTTATTTAAAAAAAATTATTACAAAAAAAATGCATATTTGTCGGCTCACATAAAGTGCAGGTAATTGGTATGGGTCGACGCAGGTAAGAATAATTAAGGAATTCATGAAACCGGAAGTCCATAGGGATTAAGCGAAAAAGGATATTTGACAAAATGTACGGCTTGGGTCATTTTTATCCACGCGCGACTGCTTATGGGTTAAGCAACGTTTCAAAATAAAACTCAAGATTGTGTAGGTCAAAAAATATATATATACATGATGAATAAAAAAATTGTTTATTGAGAGAAGGTCTGCTTATATAATTTTTTGTTACGTGTAATTTGTTTCTTATTATTTTTATATTTAATTTTACCACAACAACGGAATCATATATAATAAATTTTTATTATTTATTTCATAACCACCGTTGTTGTCCGTTTGCGACGACTTTTTAAACAAAAAGTGTGTTATGTTTACTATCTTTTCCAAGTATTCCAAACACGATGGAGAGAATAAGGCGCACAACAGGGATCCTGTATGAAAATTCATCGGACAAAGATTTTACCTTTTATTGTGAAAATTACATTTTTACACTATTTGTACAATTCTACCGGAAAAGCAGTCTTAAACAAGCAAAACCGGCAAAAATATTCTAACAAAACTGCCAAATTTCAAATATTTTAGACGTCAGTTGGGCGCCCTCATTCGGTCATAATTAGAGAGCGGATTTCTGTCGGGCTACGTCACGATTATTAGGTGGGGACGCGTGAATCGCTGTGAATCAGTAGCGGGTAATAATCAGTGCATTTAATTTTCACTTATTCCATAAATACAATTCACGAAACCTTAATTCGTAAAACAGCTAGGTAAATGAGAACGGGAATTAACAGCAAAGTACAACGAAGCACCGTTATTTTATTCGAAAATAGACGAAGTGCAGCTAGTAACTGCACTGAATTTCCATCCCGCACGAGCCGTACCGAGTTTGGCCTTGCCTAGCCCGACAGAAATCCGCTGTCTAGTCATAATGCGAACGACCACCCACGAAAACGGGTCACGAAAAACGGCGAGCTGTCTCTACTGATTGTTATCTCTACTGTGGTATCAGGCCTATGAATCGTCGTCTGGAAACAGCTAACCACACACCAACCTTCATTGCGTGTGATGGTGTTTCTTCAAAAGCGTGAGTATTTTCTATACACCAAATTCTGAAGTTCTGTCAGTTGACATAATAGCCTAACAGATGAAACCAGGCTTCATCAGAAAAGAACGACAAATCGAGAATCCCGTTATCGTCCATATCAGCTTGAAACCAACTACAATACCCAACGCGGCAAGGAAAATCAGCTGGTTGCAGCTCCTGAACCAACAAAATCTTGTATGGATGCATATGTAACTTCTCTTTTACGATTTTCTGACATGGGCTGTATGGTACTCCGGACAGTAAAGATTTTTGACAAAGCTTTATTCGGACTTTGTTCCATTCTCATCCTTAAATCTTCAACAACGTCTTCACTAACTTGAGGTCTCCCCGTCGGTTTTCACTTAGAAATGCTACCAGTGTCGTTAAATCTGGCCATAATTCGCCGTATAGCGTCTTCAAAGATTCTTCATCAATGACAACAGAACATTTCACTAGATACTCGTTTTTAGACGCCTCCACAGAGTACACTCCATCCCCATCCTCATTTAACACCCCATTACGGTAATAGGCATGATGATTGCGCCAAAGAACTAAAAAAATCATTTGTAACACTGACCATAGTTATTCCTCTCTGTTCATTACCTGAGATTATTCCACAATGATCTGTAGTTTTGATAAAAACTGTTTTTTGAGACACTTATTAAAGTTCTAACAAAGGGGAAGACAGCAAAAATGAAAACAAGACAAGTCAATTAACGCACAAAGTGAGGGAAAACGTACCAGTACAAACGAAAAAATTATTGACATCTGACAGAATTTGATGAAGCGTTGAAACAGTGCAGCCGCTAATGTCAACTAATGTGGCGTTAAAAATAAAAATTCCAATATTAGTGTAATCCTTTCCACAAAACTGAAAAAGGCGGCACAAAATGTCACCAAAATCATGGCCTTCTTCGACTACAATATTTTATAATGACCCTGTATAATAAGCGGAAGTCGAAGCAATAAAACCGATGGTCGTTTTGTTTACAGTTTCTCTGTTTGACTCTCACGTATGCTGTTACGCCTGTCATCTTAAATTAAGAATGTTTATACATACACGATTTTCAGTTGCCTCTGATACGTATACGTTAGTAAATTGTTTCGTTATTTTATTGATTATTACAAATCAATATTCAAAACGACCCAATTCATTTTCCCGAAAATTTGAGAATATAATAATTTTATTCTTAGTATTACACTACATCTATCCCAACTGATATACGTGTCCTTGCAAAAATGTTGATGACGTCATCGCAATTTTTTTTTAAATTCCCACTACAAAAATGTAATGAGAAAAAAAACACAATAGGCATGCAGTCGTCAAGTTTCCGACAGCGAGGGAAGTACTATCTAAACTCTTTAGACCAATTTTTTTTTGACTGTTTCTAGATCGTAAAATTCATAATTGAGATTTCCATTTTCGTCTGTTTGACAGAAACTTTTTAAGTAGAAAATCTTGGAAAGTGTCAAATTGATTATTTTTCAATTTTAAGTGCAGTTTAGGATTGTCATGAAAGTAGCAAAACAATCTCCGAAACTACTGAACTGATTGTAGCGGAGTTTTAGGTTATCTTATGAATAAATGTAAATGATAAAATACTAACCATTTATGTACTCATCCCCATCAAAAATTTGATGACGTGGTTTCCACAATTTGCTAAGTAGGTCTTATTTAAGTTAATGCAAAGTATTGCAAAGTTACATACTTCTATACAAGTGATTTATTAATCCACCCCTAGATTTAACCTTATTCGTGTACATTTTTGGAAAAACTAAATTTTACATTTAAATTCAAAACTTTCAAACCGATCACATAGAAAATTTTCAAACGTTTTAAAATTATTGTCAGTAAGGTAAATCAATAATTAGAATTCATGTGTTTATTCTCTTCAAAAATTCTATGACATCATTTAAAATTTTCGTTAAGTACCTAAATCTTGCTTGCAGTTTATGTTGTAACATGTTATTTACTTTGTTTGTGGTTTAAATATGTATCATATTTTTAATGATACGTATACGGATTAAAGCAAATTTTACAGTTTTTTTTAATCTGGGAAAGGATTTAATTTTTTGGAATTACGGGTTATTATTGTTAATTTATGTGCGTATTTAAAGTGCGAAAAATAAAAGGCCAACGATGTTAACACTAGCGAAGGTATTTATTAACTGACTTAGATATGTACAATATGTGAAAACTAACTTAGTAAAAAAGGTCTCGACATCTGGACGTCGATTTGCCGTGAAACGCCGACAAAGACAAAAGGGTCCAGACTTTCAACCACACAAGTGTCGCACCGGTACTGGGCCAGAGCGTATCTAATTCTGACATATTGCAACACTCCCACTCGCTCTGGTCAGATGAACTAAATAAACAAACACAAGAAAAATTAGAACACACAAATAAAATAATACTTAAGAGAATAAGTCTTAAACTGAATGTAAATTCAACAATTTTAAATTATTGGCAAATTTATCACGGCTTAGCGGTTTCGTGAACATATCCGCCAGTTGTTCCGTTGTCCCAACGTGGTTGATATCAATCTCTCCCCGTTGATAGGCGTCACATGTGTAGTGGAACTTGACGTCGATGTGTATGGTGCGTCGATGGTGAACAGGATTTCGCACCAAATGTTCAGCGGTTTGCTTTAAGTGTAGAGTTTTTGTCCCACGATCGCGCACTATTTGCATACAGTTTGCCACGTCACCGGTAACTTCAAAATTCAGTTTTGGTTTGTTTATGAAACTGTTGACACATTCCACAGAACAACCGATTACCAGTCCATCATCCACGTACAGCGCGAAATAAAGTTCGTTATTGTCAGACGCGTACACACACCGGTCAAACCGAGTAGGGTCCATTTTCTCATGAAACACTAATGGTGCCTGTTTCAGTCCGTATAAACTTTTGTTTAGTTTACACACACGGCCACTACCGTCGTCAAAACCGTCCGGTTGCACCATATATATTTCCTCTTTTAGCTCACTATAAAGGAAAGCAGTTTTCACGTCAATCTGAAAGAGTTCATAATCTTTGGCCGCCGCGATGGCCAACAATACACGCACTGATTCGAACCGTGCAACGGGTGAAAACGTTTCCGCGTAGTCGATGCCCGCTTTTTGCGAACATCCCTTAATGACCAACGGTGCCTTGTATTTATTGATGCTGCCGTCCGGGTTGGTTTTAATCTTGAATATCCATTTATTTTGGATTGGTCGTCTGTTCGCTGGAAGCTCCACCAATTTCCAAACTTCATTTTTGGCTAAAGACTCCAATTCATCAGCCATTGCAAGCTCCCACTGTTTTGAATCATTCGTGGCTAGCGCTTCTGCGAGAGTTTCAGGTGTTTTAGTCACTATTTTCTCACCTTCAGTCAGGAGGGCTGCAAATTGAACTTCGGTCATTTCATCTTTTTCTTCCATCCTTTTCTTCGTCTTAGATCGGATGTTGTTTACGATGGAGTTTTCATCTGAAGGTACCACGCGTTTCGAGTACGCCGCTCGTGTTGGTGTTGATTGTTCTTCATTTGTAGCGATTTCAGGTAACAATTGAAGAGGTCTTTTTGGTGGTAATTCGACAATTTTTACGTCACGACTCTTAATAATTACTTTTGTACCTGGCCGCCAAAGTCGATATGCGTGTTGCTCAAATTCATATCCAACTAAGATGAGCCGTTCGCTCTTCTTTTCAAATTTGCTCCGTTTCGACTCGTCAATTAATGCATATGCAGTACTACCAATTTTACGCAAATGACTCAAATCAGGCTTTCGACCGGTCCAGAGTTCGTAGGGGGTTTTCCCTTCGAGACGGGCACGTGGTATTCTATTTCTAATGTGAGCCCCGTTTCTAATCATTTCCGCCCATAGTCCTTGGGGCAGGTTTCCGCTTGCAAGTTGACACCGCACCATTTCATTTAATGTCCTGTTAGATCGTTCGGCCCGCGAATTTGAGGACGGGAACGGTTGTCGCACGTGCTTGCCGTATACACAGTCTTCGCAAAATGTGTCCTCATTGTCCGTACTATCTTTCGAGTCCACAACTTTCATGCCAGTTATCGCGTCACTTTTGGCCATTTCGCGAACCACTTTAAATGCAACATGTCCAAGCCGTTCATGCCACACTCGAACGTTTTGAGCACTTGCACTTGCGATCATAGCCTCTGCCGTTGCCCGCGCGCGAATATTCATTTCGAATAAACCGTTTTTAGCCAATTGTCCGGTGGCTACCACTTTGCCACGACTAAACAATTGTAACGTGTGTTTGCTGAATAATGCGTTAACACCATGATTACTAGCTGCACTTATTGAGAACAGATTTTTCCCAATTTCAGGCACGTACCACACTTCACTCATGCCTTGCTCCAGTACTTGTCCATTAACGTACGAGCTAATCATTACATCTCCTTCACCTTCCGCGTAAATAGTTTCATTGTTGCCCACTGTGATCGGTTTTCTCTCACTTGCACTAAACTCCCTGTAATTTGTAATAATGTCGCGTCGAAAAGTCATGTGTTTACTTGCGCGACCCATAATTCGCCCGCGTTACCGACAGCCATCGTTTCGGCTGTGTACATCATCGCACTCGATGCGCCGCTGTTTGATGCTGTATTCGCTTGGCCATTGTTTTGAGTGTTTTGGGGTTTGTAGCAGTCGATCTTTCTATGTCCCGTCTTACCGCAATTATAACACTTCCCACTAAATCGCTGTTTTGTAAATTGCTGTCGCTGCTGATTTTGATAACGACCACCTCTATTTCTTTGATGATTTTGGCGTTGTCCCCGATTGCCGTTGCTTGTGTAAAGGGCTGAGTTGTCTTCTTCGTCGTTTTTAATCTCGACCATTCCATTTCTCATTGTTTCCAGCTTTAATAACCGAGGAAGAAGGTTGACCATGGTTTGCTCTTTTTCTGGAAGCATATCAAAAGTCGCTGCTATATGCTGATACTCTTGTGGTAATGTGTACAGTACTTTGGTGATTATTTTTTCATCGGTGGGTTTCTGATTCAGATCTTCCAGTTGTCTCACCAGCTCTTCGATAGCAGCAACATGTTCAGTAGTTGTTGCGCCTGGTCGCATTTGATAATTATAAAATTTTTGGTGTAAAATATGAATCGACGTCTTGTTCTTTTGTTCGTAAATAGTCACCAGTCGTGTCCACATTTCAGCTGCAGTCTTCATATTCATTATATGACGCACAACATTCGTCTCTAGAGCGCACGATAACGCAAATTGAGCTTTCTCGTCTTTTCTGTCCCATTCTTCTTGTTCCTTGGACGTACCTCCCGAATCAGGGCGAGCTTTCATACCTTCGACAACGTCTAACAATTCGTGATACCGCAGATAGGCGCGCATTTGAAACTTCCATACTGCAAAATCGTTGCCGTTAAACTTAGCTATCGCGAACTTATCCATTTTCGATGTGTCTGCTACTATTGGCCGCGAAACCGAACTTGAACACTGACCAACTACAAATCACAACTTCGAATAGGAACTAATCGCTGATATTCCGCTAATTGCACTTTTTCAAAATACTAATTGCACAATACTCGATACGTAATCTGGGCCCATAACCTGTTAATTTATGTGCGTATTTAAAGTGCGAAAAATAAAAGGCCAACGATGTTAACACTAGCGAAGGTATTTATTAACTGACTTAGATATGTACAATATGTGAAAACTAACTTACTGCCCATTCACAATGGACATAAGGCATAACAAGTACATAAAGCTTACATAAATACATAAAGTTGAAACGATGGAAAACGTGTACCCTTGTTCACAGTGGACGAACGTAATTCTTATGCTTATAAACGTTTTATGTAATCCTTATGTGCGTACACAAAGTTGAAATAAGTTCAACTTTATGCACGAATTATGTCAAAATTATGTTAAAATCTAGGGACTTTTGAATGCTGCTATTGAATTCCCTTTGACAGTTGGCACTTGGCACTTCACACCTTTGATTATATTATATAAATTATAATCAAAGCTTCACACTGCGAGTCTGTTCTGTACTGCGAGTTGTCAAGTTCGAATATCGTATGAAATTGTAGGTTAGATATTTTGATTGACTCAGTTTGAGGTTAGCCGTTTCTATGTTTAGCCGGGAGTTATTCCGTTCTGCGTTTGCGCAGTTTAACAATTCTTGCAGAGTTCACTCTGTCCACTGTGAACGTAGATAAGCATAAGCCAGACACAAACCAAAAACGTAAATTATGTTATGCGCTCGTTCTTATGTCTTATGTCCATTGTGAATGGGCAGTTAGTAAAAAAGGTCTCGACATCTGGACGTCGATTTGCCGTGAAACGCCGACAAAGACAAAAGGGTCCAGACTTTCAACCACACAAGTGTCGCACCGGTACTGGGCCAGAGCGTATCTAATTCTGACATATTGCAACAATTATTACATAAAATTACAAAATACTGAGTAAAATTTATCTTGGAAACTTAATAATATCATAACGTCAAAAAATTCAAAATTTTCATTTCAAAAATTTATTAAATAAATGTACATTGTACACATTGTATTCCCATTAATGATTACTTATTATTTATTAGAGATAGAAAAATTAGTCAGAGACTAATGTTGTACGGCTCTTTAAGTATCTTTAAGTAGCATACATTAAAATTATTTTCGATTATACAGAGTGTTTTGGTTTCGAACACAACATAATTTTACACTTCCCGAGCGTAAACTAAGGAAGTATAGTAATCGAGTCCAGACGCCGATTTGCCACTTTGATATTTTCTCGACGTGTCATGACCTCTAGAGTACGAAAAAAGTGGTTTTCCGTTTCCGTCTGTCTGTTTGGTGTCTGTCTGGTGTCTGTATCCATTTTTATTATATACGTAATCTCTATTTTGTATGTAAATAAGGAATATCATGTATATTTAAACGCTAACTAAAATTTGGCTAATCGTCCCCACCACCAATGGAATGACGTCATCTCCAAAATTTATAATAGAAATTTTTTTTAAAATAAGATACTCCGTACTCGTGGTGTGTGAATCCGTGTCGAATTTTGTATAACAATACTTTGCAATTTAACTTTGAAACTGCAAAACCAAAACCGAATGCTCTGATAATCTTACAAATATGTTAAGGTCTTGGTAAATCAATAAGCAAAATTTATTCATTTATCCCTGCCAAAGAATTGATGACGGTCATCTGAAAATTTTGCCGAATAAATCCTCTTTGAAACATGCACAGTATTATGACTCCATACTTCTGGCGTATCAACGCACTCATAGTTTTTAGAATTACTTATACAGGTGACCCAAAAAAATTAATGGAAGAGTCAATTTATTTTATTGATTAAATCAGGAACTGCACAACAGTATGCTTCGAAATCTTGCAGACGTTTTAAACTTATCATAAACATGGTAAAATTTTTAATCAAAATATATCGATTTATCTCCCTTAAAAAATTGATGATGGCAGCTCAATTTCTTATATAGGTGATTAATAAAAATTAGTGAATGAGTCAATTTATTTTACTGAAATCGATAACGACTAACTCCATTTTCCCGAAAATTTGGGAATAGTTTGCAAAAATGTTGACAACATCATCACAAAATTTTGTTAAAGGGACTAATCAAATTTTATAATTTTTCTACAAAGCTGGGTTTGTTTTATTGCACTTCAGGGGCGAGGCAAGTTCTGTCGAAATAACCTTCGACCAATTTTTTTATATAGAATACCCCATATATTTTTACATATTTTTAGCTTCTTCCAAGGCTTTTTATTTTTTTAGCAATGCAAGGGTTCACGAAAAAATGGAGAGATAAACATGGTTATGGTATCAATTAAATAAAATGTTAATATGCAGAGTATTTACAAAAAAATTAAACTTTATATTTTTCAAATATCGATGTTTCAGTTTTTCAAATAGAACATTTTATTACTACTGTCAATATTAAATATAGAAAATACTTAATAAAAGAGAAAGAGAACAAAAAATAGAATAAGATGTAGTATTATTACTAAAAATACTGGGTGTTCCGTTTGAAAAAACTGATATATCAATATTTAGATAGAAAATTGAAAGAACTTGGCAACGTTGCATCGGAATTTTTAAAATAAATTATAGTTATAAAGCCTAAGAAGAGGTCAATTAAAATATATAAAAATATTTAGGGTATTCTATTTGAAAAAACTAAGTTGTGTGCTAAGCCTTAAAAACAGAACATTCCGCATAGTTGAAAATAATTTTGATATATGTTCTCAAAAAACTGTACAACTTTCATGTTTGTTTTTTTTCTACTTCTATTAATTAATGAGATATCGCGAAGCGCGATCACTGATTTCAGCCTGTATATTTCTTTAGAGTTTCTTGTAGTTTTTTTTTCTGAATTCGTTAACATAAAAACTTGTGTTTATTTCATTTTGAGTCAATACAAAAAACAAAACTTATGAATGCAAAAAAATTTAAACAAAATAATGTCCCATATGACCGAAAAAGCTCCTGGTACATCGTGCAATTTATTTTTAAAATAATGATTCTGACATTGCAGCTATTTGACCCTTTATTTAGCAGTTATTTGATTGTCAAACTGAACAAGGAGCGCATTACTGTTGTCAACATCGTTATTTTAAAAATAAATTGAACAGCCTACTAAAGGATCTTTTTTTCGATCATATGGTACTTTGAGTGTTTTGCTGGGACACTTTTATAGGAATTATCATATAAAATTACAGAATTAATTTTTATAATTTATCTAAAAATCGGAGCGGATTCTTGCGGATAAGGCGGCAAACAGCCAACGCAATGATGCACCTGAACCTGGCGTCGGAGCCATTAACCTTTAGGTGGCTAATTGTATGGTACAAAAAAGGATTAGTTTTCCTTCAGATTCATGCATATCAGCGGCGTTTATACTACACATTACGGAAAGATAATCCCATTACTAAATACAGCGAGGACACAAAAATATACCCTTACGAGTCCGATCTCTCTTGATTTTGCTTCAGGGACAAGGGAAATTTTGTCGAAATAACTTCAAACCATTTTTTTTTTTATAATTGAATTTCGATTGTTTTATACGTTCTTCTAATTTAACCATATTCTGGAAAGACAGCAACGTTATGATTGTTCCTTTGTTGTAAGTATCAAAAACCCAAGATCTGATAACACCATCTAACAAAATTATTAAATAAATTTTTACTGATTTATGTACATTTGAAGATCTGAACTACATAATGGTGATATTTATGCAAGCAAACATTATTGTAATCCAACCTACAGTTGTTCCCTTTTTATTTTTATTTTATTGATAAAAATAATTTGGACACAATGTTAAATAAATGGTATTTTTTATTATTTCTTTGTTGTAATCTACTATTCATGAACAAAAGATTTTTGTAAATTTTCGTACTCTTAGTTAACTTATTGTTACATCTTTTTGTTACACTAAGTTTAACTTGTAGGTTTTGGTTCTTTACTTCGCAAACTTCCCCCCATCGCATTTGCGTGCATCGATGAAGCCCATTGTGTCTCCCAGTGGTCCCACAATTTTCGGCCCAGCTACCTCTTAATCTGCCGAGTTCTAAGGGAACGAATGGGGGTGAAAACCGTTTTGGGTCTAACTGCCACAGCAACTAGGTCCACTAGCGATAGCATAGTAGAACATTTACAAATACCGGATGGTAGAAATGGCATTATCAGCGATATACCTCTCCCCGACAATTTAATATTAACGGTTTCTAAGGATCATCAAAGAGATCAAGCTCTGTTAGCTCTGCTGACATCAGAGAGATTCACAAACTGTAAAAGTATAATCGTGTACTGCACTCGGCGTGAAGAATGCAATCGTGTGACGAAATTTTTGAGAACCAGTTTGCAATACGAACAAACTGATAACAAGAAGAGAAAACGCATAAGTGTTCAAGCTGAACCATATCACGCTGGTTTGTCTGCTAGCAGAAGAAGAACAATTCAGAAAGCTTTTATGTCTGGGGAGTTGCGAATAGTAGTAGCAACGGTGGCTTTTGGAATGGGTATAAATAAATCTGACATTCGTGCTGTGATCCATTACAACATGCCAAAGAATTTTGAAAGTTATGTTCAGGAAATCGGACGTGCTGGTAGGGACGGTTTGCCTGCACATTGCCATCTTTTCCTAGATGCAAAAGTAAGTTATTCACCTAATAGTTGTTTGATTTGATACGGCTCTATTTCGAATTAATTTAATGATTATTAATGATTACTTGTAACAAGTATTAAATGGATGATAAATCTTGTGATTTTAGGGTAACGACGAAAACGAGCTGAGACGTCACATCTACGCAAATTCTATAGATCGTCACGTTATCAGAAAACTTTTACAGAAAATTTTTCTGCCATGTTCATGCAAGGAAACCTGTCCCAAGCATGAAGTGGCGTTCTCGATTGAAGAAACCGTAAGAGCTTTAGACATACCTGAGGAAAATATTTCAACTCTCCTTTGCTATTTAGAATTACATGAAAAGAAGTATATTGAGTTACTAAGTCCAGCTTATACTGTTTGTAAAATTATATCGTATGGGGGAGCTAATCAAATACGGAAAGCTGCAAAGGAGTGTCCTCCGCTTGCGATGGCTTTAGCTCTTCAGAAGAATAAAGAAGAAAAAGAGCAGAACGTTGTAGAGTTCGCCGTTGTAGATATTGCGGCTGCGATAGGATGGGACAGCGGCATTTGTAAGCACAAACTAAAAAATCTAGAATGGACGTCAGGTATGTATACAGAATTATTTGCTAAGCTGCTGTAACTAAAAAAAGTGTGTTCCGAGTACGCCACGATTTCACGAGACATTAAGCTAAAAATTTTACATGGGGTGGATCGGTTTTGATTTTATTAAAAAAATTGTAAAATCGCAGAAACTATCAAAATAAAACAAAGGCGCAATAGATTGCAGTAAAAACAGGGTGTTTCAAAAAACTACAACCTAAATATTTGAAAAAACACTTAGTATACCAAGACTCAATTTTACTGACACTACAACAAACCGCAAGTTTTTCTCTATCTGCTCCTAAACTATTGTAACATATAATGTTAAAAATAACCCAGTGCAATTTTTTATGAACCTTTGGATTGGTAAAAAGATCAACGAGTTTAGATTGTCCTTCTCTTATACCTTCAAAACCGTGACTCCATCCCACCATGATTTCTCTTCATCAGACTTCTGTGATGGGATATTTTAATAAAGTAAATTACATCCGGAAAGTAAAATACTATTGCTTCTACTTTTTTTTGAGGTTCTTGTGGAGCTTGTTTTCCTTAATTTATTAATGATCATACTTTAATTACCCATACTCCGCCACTGCCTTTAATTCGAACGAATTATGTTACGAAAACATACTCTGTTGATTCTTTATATTTGGTCTGGCACGGAATGTCCGTTCGCACCTCTCCACGGATGATAGGAAACGGAGACTCGATGGCACCCGAATTAACAGAATGCTACTCAAGGGATGTTCCAAAATATGAATAGTTGTTTTTGAGTCACCCTGTATGCAATTTCAAACATTTATTTTAATTACAATAGATATTAGAGTACACTACCAACAATAGTAGCAGTTTTGCACACCGTGTGGTGTTGGCGAAATAGGGTGACCCTCAATAACTTTCTTCAGTTGTGATTATACTAATATCAGTTTTTGGAAAATCGGGTAAACGGTCAAAGGATTACTCCAGTTTCCCATTGGAAACTGTTCCGACTCGCATTTCAGAAAGGACACGAATTTTATGTCAATTCCGACACGTGCAGTAATAGTAATAATAAAAAATTGGTCGAATTTATTTCGACAAAATTGAACTACAGTACAATAAAACAAGATTTTTTCGAAAAATTATAAGATTTGATTTTGTGAGTTATATTTTATCTTATTTTTGATAACCCAGATAAGTTAAAATAAAGGTATGTAAATATAATTTGGAGCTGACGTCGTCAAATTATTGGTGGGGATAATTGGCCAAATTTTATAGTTCCGGAAATTATCCGTTTAATAAAAATTCGGATAGACAGATGGAAACGGGAGATCTATTTCTTCGTACGCTAGGGGTCATGAAAGGTCAAGAAAACATAAGAATAGCGAGTCGGCGAATGGACTCGATTACAATACTTCTTCGCTTACGCTCGGGAAATAAAAAATTAAGTATACTGTTTGTGAGAGCCAATGACCAGGGGGTGCCTGTTTTTACCCCCTCCGCCTTCACGGGCTTGGTCGGGCCACCACCGGCCTTGAAACGGGGAGTTGATCTGTATCCTTCCGATAATAAACACCAAATATTTATCTCGCATTCCGCTGCTCTTATTTAACAATCAAACACAACATACAACTTATTCATATATCAATACAAAATTGTACATGGTCCTTCGAGCCGGATCAGCGGCCGCGAGTGTTATATAATAGTGCAGTGCGCCCTATTTCGACACAAAGTTATTCAAATCGGAAATATTGGTCAACCGTCATATACAGATTTTTCTGTGATTCGTCGTCTACAATTCTGGGGACATCAAGGTAAGCTCCAATTCTTATAATATCGTTGTGCATTTCTTGTACGTAAGATGACGAAAAGCCAGGACGAAACAATCAATAAATTCATAATTCTTCTTGATAAATTAAACACACATGAGATTTTCGTTGATGACGAAACTAATCATTCAAAGGTTGGACAATTAAAGCGTCGCCTACAGGACGTTGAACAATTAAAATCGGAAATGGAAAATATCAGTTTGCACTATGGTGCCAATTCTATAATAATAACTTCAGAAGATGAAAACGAGTCTGATGAACGGGTCGAATATAAGTTTAGGGATGTACTGAATCAAATATTTGAGGTGCTTGGTGTATATGATGATTTGGTGACAAAGGCCTCATCTCAATTATCTAGTAGTTCATCAGCCACATCTCATTCAAATCAAAATCTTAACGTAAAATTGCCAACTATTGAATTACCTAAGTTCAATGGGGATTATACCGAATGGGCATCATTTTTTGATACTTTTTCTAGTTTAGTTGGCAGTAATGAGTCATTATCCAACTCTCAAAAATTACATTATTTAAAATCATGCTTGGAAGATGAACCCAAGAAAACTCTGGAGTCGCTAAAAGCGGACAACACAAATTATGCAATTGCGGTTAAATTATTGAAAGACAGATACGAAAACAAGCGCTTCATCATTAACAATCATTTAAAAAATATCTTCAGTTTGCCCTTTGTTAATAAATCGGACTGTAAATCCTTGCGCGACTTTTTAGATACACTAAGTATTAATTTAAATACCCTGAAAGCGTTGGACCGCCCTGTCGATCAATGGAGCGATCTTATCATTTACATTGTAGTTTCAAAATTGGACCATTTTTCTAGTTCCACATGGGAAGAGTCACTTGAACCCAATAACATTCCGTCCCATACAGATTTAATTTCATTTTTAGAAAGGCGATGCAAAACCTTAGAATCGATAAGCATCCATAAAATTAATAAAGATACAAAATCTCTCCCTCCTCAAAAATGTAACATTAATACGCCGCTTAGAAAACGTGTGTTCCATACTTCATATTCTAAGGCTCAAAGTAACAAAAAGTTAGCTTCATGTTTTATATGCGAAAAAAATCATAATATTTTTAATTGTGCTGATTTTCTAAAGTTAACCCCCCAGGAAAGACTGCAACACATAAAATCATTGAATCGTTGCAGTAATTGTTTTAGACAAAACCATTTTACGAAAGATTGCACTATATTTGGCTGCAAACAGTGCAATAAAAAACACCACACTCTTTTACATATTGATGTAAAGGCTAGTTCCAATGCGATTACTGATCAATTAGTTAATGATATCACGGATCCTGGAGAGGGGACATCTCATTGTAATTTAGTGGTCTCAAACAACATACTTTTATCAACAGCAGTAATATTGGTTAAGGGTCCCACAGGTAAAATAAAAGAATGTCGCGCATTATTAGACATTGGGAGTCAATCTCACTTCATAACGGAAAATTTATGTAAACAGTTAAATTTGAAAACTCAAAATTCAAATGTGTCGATCCTAGGAATAAATAGCCAATCAAGATTGACTAAGTCTGCTGAAGTTGAGATCAGAAGTAGATCAACTGATTTTATTTACAATATTAAATGTTTGGTTATTCCCAAAATTACCGAAAACTTGCCTTCTTATACGTTCGATATAAATACTATCCATTTACCCAATAATTTAGACTTAGCGGATCCGACTTTTAATGTTTCATCTCCCGTGGATATATTAATTGGGGCCGAATTATTTTTAAACCTGCTTACTTCCGGAAATATAAAACTCGGTAAAAATCAGCCTGTTCTACAAAATAGTGTTTTGGGATGGATTATCTCAGGTAAAATGCCGAATTTTAATAATAAACCCTTGCACTGCTACAAAATAAGTTTGGAATCAGCTGTTACCAGGTTTTGGGAAATAGAGAACGTTGAACCCGAGGTAATTGTCCCTTCCATCAATAAACATTCTTCCAAAGACCTTTGCGAAGCCCACTTTTATGACACTACCAGCCGATCTAAAGACGGTCGCTTTGTTGTACGACTTCCGTTTGTCCGGCAAATTCCAAAATTGGGAAATTCCCGTGATGTAGCCATGAAACGGTTGTTGTCTCTTGAACGGAAACTCTCCCGCGACCATAAATTAAGAGCGGGTTATTTGGCCTTTATGCGCGAGTACTTGGAATTAGGTCACATGGAGCCAGTACCTGCCGACGTTTCGAAACATTCTTATTACCTGCCCCATAGTGGGGTCATAAATGAAAATAGTTCTTCAACCAGACTACGCGTTGTTTTTGACGGATCGGCAAAAAGCTCAAACAATCTTAGTTTAAACGACAATTTATTAGCAGGACCCGTTTTGCAGCCTGATCTTCTTACGATCATTATTCAATTTAGACTGCCTCAATTCGTAATAACTGCGGACATATCCAAGATGTACAGGTGCATTTGGTTGCATCCTGATGACCGTGTATTTCAACAAATCTTATGGCGAGAATCTCCCGATTTACCCGTAAATACATACCAACTTAAAACCATCACTTACGGCCTGACTTCCTCTTCTTACCAAGCCATTAAATGTGTACAACAATTGGGCGCAGATCTAAAGGATAATTATCCATTAGCACACGACGTCATCATGAAGTGTTTTTATGTGGACGACATATTGTTTGGCGCAAATACCATACCCGAATTAGCGCGGATTAAGGACGAATTAAAGACAGTTCTCGGGAAGGGGGGATTTTCTCTAAGTAAGTGGTCATCTAATTGTGCTGATGTGTTAAAAGATGAGTTTACATCCAATGAGTGCATAATAACGGAGAAACAGCTTGAAAAGAAAACTCTGGGTATTCGCTGGGACAACGAATCTGATAATCTTTCATACACACATTTTAACTTTGTTAACGTCAAGCCCACCAAACGTACTATACTTAGCGCCATTGCTCAATTATTTGACCCCCTCGGTTTAGTTAATCCTGTGATAACAGTGGCAAAAATAATAATGCAACGGTTGTGGTCGTTGAAAATTAACTGGGATGACGAAATTCCCGATAATCTTAAAAAAGCATGGACTTCCTTCTTACGCGGCTTGCCTTATCTAAATAAACTTCAGTTTCCTAGAACAGTAATTTGTCGTGATGCTATCAAAATAGAAATCCATGGATTCTGCGATAGTTCTGAACAGGCTTACGGTGCAGCAATCTTT